TGGAGACAGCAGCCTGGGAGAAGGAATCAGCCAGCAATCATATTGTCACAGCAGTTCCCAAGGGCCGAGTGCCAGGCATGGGGCCAAGCACTTGGCACACACAATGTCCCACCAAATCCTCACCCAAATGACCCTAAGAGCCCAGCTGCGATCGATCCCATTTGAGCTTAGTAATCAGAGGCTCAGAGAGGTCAGATGGCCTGGCCAAGGTCACACAGCCTGTACCAGGTGAATCTGGATAGAAGATGGGCATATCTGACCCCAGTGCCAAGTCCTTCAGACTCTACTGCTGCTCTCTGAGTGTCTGCACAGCCCCAGGTGATGTGGATGAGTGAGGTGAGTGTCTGGAGGATTAAAGCACCCAACTCATTTTCTTTCTCTTCATTGTTTACATATCCACTGTGAGGGGCCTAAGTTGTCAGACTCTATCCTGCCCAGGAAGAAACAGACTTTCTTAATGTAAAGGGCATATTATGACTTTCACAGGGCTTGGCACATCAGCCTTCATGGGCCCCTTCCTTCATAAGTATGTTTTTAAAATTCTATTTTGTGGACTTCCCTGGTGGTTCAGTGGCTGAGACTCTGTGCTTCCAATGCGGGGGGCCCAGGTTCAAACCCTGGTCAGGGAACAAGATCCCATGTGCTGTAACTAAGACCTCCTGCAGTCAAATAAATAAATAAATATTTAAAATTCTATTTTGTGACTGCATTCATATGAAGATTAACATGTTAACACTATATTTAAAATATTCCTCCCATCTTAAAGTTCATTTGTTGGGTCTGCTTTTGTTTTTTTGTTTGTTTGTTTTTGGGGGTGGGCAGTGCTTTTTTTTTTCCATTTATTTTTATTAGTTGGATCTACTTTTGAAAGAAATTAAAATGCTCTTTGCATGCTAAGTCACTTCAGTCGTGTCTGCACTTTCTGACCCTATGGACTGTAGCCCACCAGGCTCCCCTGTCCTCGGGATTCTCCAGGCAAGAATACTGGAGTGGGTTGGTACACCCTCCTCCAGGGGATCTTCCCGCCTCAAGGATCAAAGCTATATCTCTTACATCTCCTGCACTGGCAGGCAGGCTCTTTACCACTAGCACCACTTGGGAATCCCATGTTCTTGGAGGGCTTCTAAGAGTATTACAGAAACCATGCCCTCAAGCCTAACAGAGAAGGCCCTGCCCAGAAGCGGGGGGATTGGCTGGTGCTGCAAGAAGCTGACTTGATTCTCCTTCCCTGAAACAGATGCAGTGGCCTCCTCATTTCTCAGAGCAAGGAGGCCCAGGAAATGAACTTCCCACAGTCCCAGTCAGACTGGGGTCTTGCTCATTCTAGAATCAGGTATGGAAAGTAAGTCCCTGGAAAGCCTCCATTTGCTTATCTGTCAAATGGGTAGGACTTGTCCAGCCTCTACCATACAGCCTGGCCTTTTTTTTTTTTTTTGCCACACTGCATGGCATATGGGCTCTTAGTCCCCTGACCAGGGATCAGACCCATAACCCTGCATTGGAAGCACAGAGTCCTAACCACTGGATTGCCAGAGAAGTCCCAGCCTGGCTTATTTGAGTGAGGTTAGAAGTGCCAGTGAGAAGCTAAGAGAAAAGTCAAAAACCCTCCCCGTGTCCAGAGTCATCTGGATTCTCCATCTCTAAACATAGGTAAGTTGAACCTTTCCTTGTCTGCAGTACCAGATGTCTGCTTAGAAGCCCAGCCTGACCTGGGACACAATCCCAGCTCTGCGCTCGCTGCCAGGGCACCCTGGACGTGTGGGTTGCTATCTCCGGGCCTCAGTTCTCTCATCTGTGAAATGGGATTAGCAGTAGGAGCCCTGACAGGGAACACAAGTGCTCATCAAGTGACGGCTGTTATTAAGACTGTTCCTGTCGTAGTTATTATTAATCCCAGAGGAGGCAGCGACCTATGAATCACCTGCGGAGATGGAAGAACATTTTACACAAACATCTCCAGCTATGGAGACACCAGAACAGGCCCAATGGTGGCCCTGTCAGCCTCACCAGGGGCTGTTTGGGGAGCCATATACCCCAAAATCTTGCTGCCCCCGATTGGGAGTATTCCCACTGCCTGCGAAGGCCCCCTCCTGACCTGCCCAGAAGCAGAAGGCCATGAACTTCTGGAAAGCTCCCAAATTCCTGGGATTTGCAAGCAGAGGCTCAGACAGACTAGCTGAGGTGGGGAACGCAAAGGTCCCAGCTCTCTGAGTTAAAGATGTGGGAAGTAGCAGCTACAGCCTCTGAAAGAGTTTACCAGTCCACTGCTCCTCCCTCAAGTCACAAAGCAGGCCGTGTCCCCAGCTTAAGGACCTCACTGTAGACTCTTCGCCCAGCATCCCTCAACCCCAGAAGAATGAAGGAGGGGAGCCCTTAGGGAGAATCAGGCACCTACTTGGGTCTTGCTGTCTTTGCCAACAGGAACGCCCATGATGCAGGAGCTCAGCTGGGGGCAATGACATTCATCCCAAGCCCCGGGTCGGTGCGTGCCAGTGGAGAATTGGGGAGCCCCGGCCCAGCCCCGAGTCTGCAAGGCGAACTCCAGAGCCAGTGTGACCTGAGTGGTGGATGAGCCTCCAATCCTTCCTGCTTCTAATCAGATTGAGGGGACGTGCAGGGAACTCTGTAGAAACGCCCCCAGGGAGACCAGGTGGGGACCAAAAGGCTGTGGTTGCTAGGAAAAGCCAAGCTGTTGCCAGCAGAGATCAGGTCGCTAGGCGACCATCTGCCCGTTACCAGGGCCTGTGCGTCATCAGTAACCCCTGTGTCTCCACAGAGCTGGCAAGAGCATCCTTCCCCAGCCGGTGACAGCCCAGCCACCTGTCCCACGCCTGACACCCTCTGGCATTGTGCCTGGGATCAGCCACTCTGTCATCACAAGACCCTTGTCCTTACTTGAGGCCCTAAGCCCCAAAGTTCCCTGAGTTTGAAGTTCTGGGCAAATATGTGTGTGATCAGGTACGTGCCTGGCAGTGTTCGCAGGTAACTGTATGCATGTGCTTGTGTTTCGTGTGGATCCATGCAGCTGAGTGCACCTGTGCCTGTGTTACTTGTGCATGTCTGCAGGCTGTGTGTGGGCATAAGTGCCCTGACAACACATAAGTGTGCACATAACCCAGCACATCTGTGTCTGTGTGCAGGTGTGTATGCACAGTGCAGATATGTGTGGACAGCCCATGTGTATTAGGCAGAGAACATATGTGTAGTTAGTACATGTGCCTGGGTGCACTGGCTCCCTGGCCTTCAAGTGGTGTTTTAGTTCAAGAGCCATGGCATATAAAGGGATTTGTAGGCCTGTGTTTTGGGCATGAAGATTTGATGGCAGAACAGCTCAGAGCTCTGCACTATACCCAGAAGCAAGTGGAAAGAAGAGAGCAGATAGGGCGGTACTAGTGAAGACCTAGGCAGCACCTAAGGTCTTCACTTAGGGAGGGGCACTCACCGGATAGTGAGAGCATCCTGGCTCTGGAGGGCCTTAGAGGGCAGAATTAGGACCAGGTTACAGAAGCCAAAAGGAAGCACTCTTAGTTTTGGCAAAAGAAATAATTTCCTAAGTCAGAGGTATGTGTGGATGGAATGGATAGCCTTTGAGAGGTTGTGAGCTCCCCATTATTGGAGGCAAGCAACTAGTTATGTGGCCTCCTGCTAAGGACAGAAAGATTATATGTGAACTGGGCAAGTGTGGACTCAAAGCAGATGAGACTAATCAGGCTTCTAGCTCCCAAATCCTATGTGGTCTCATGATTTAACTGTTTCCTGAATGAGACTAAAAGTGACCCTTAGTAGAGATGAGAAGGTTAGTGGACCTTTTTGATGGACCACATACTCCACACCTACTGCATCTGTTCTTAGCCGGCCCTCTGACCACTCAGCAGGGGCTATTATCCCCACCGCCAGACCTCCCATTTTACAGATGTAGAGGCAGAAGATCTATGCCCACCTGCTGCTCACCCAGGTCACTCTGGTGAGAGAAGCAAAGCTTGGGTTCCTAACACTCGCAGTGCTATATTGCCTTAGGCCATGGCCAAAGGGACAGGGAGCCAGGGTGTGGGCCAGGGGGTGCCACAGAGGGCAAAACGACAGGGACAGGGAATAATGCCAGGGGGGTGGATCAAGGGGAAAGACTAAAGCACCCGGTCTGATCAAGGGGAGAGATTAAATCACCCAGCCACCTCGATGCTCCTCCTGCTTCAATCGCTGCACAATGCAGCTGCCAGCCTGCGTCACTCCCCTGCTCACAAACCTTCCATGGCTCCCTGTTGCTCCAAGGAAGTCAAGTTCAAGGCCTTCACAATCAGGCACCTCTGAAGGATCATCTCCCCCCACTTCAAGTTACACTGTCACTCTTCCTGGGCCACACAGGCTACTCGTGAGGCCGCAGTTCACTTCCACCTCCTTGAAACTCTTTCCAACTGGGCCTCCAGGTCCCACACTCTTCTCATCTCCCTCTCCTCCTCCTTGGTCCTTTCTGGTTCCTCATGAACTCCAATCTGGCCTTTGGATCTCTCCTTCATCCACACTCACTCCCCAGGCACCTCCTCTAGCCCCACTTTCAATTCCATCTACAAGACCGGACACCTGCCTTTACATCTCCGGTCCAGCCTCTTAACCCCGAACCCCACTCAGGCATCCAGCCATCTGCGCATCACCTCCATGTACATCCGTCTCTCCAACTGCCCTTCTGTCTGGCTTGCATGGTTCAGGATCCTCTCCCCAAAACCCCCTTCTTGTGGAGGTGCATTCTACATTTGTTTGCACATATAGGGGTGGGTGGGGTGGGGGTGGTTGTTGAGTGTTGGGTATTGTGAATCCCAAGGTCATTATGAGCCCAGTGGAGGTCTCCCAGCAGCCCCCAGCCTCTCTGATCAGTGCTCAGTGGTACAGAACACAGCACAGAACAAAGGGAGGCGCTCCCATGAGAGGCAGAAAGCATTCCCACCCCAAAAGCCACGGCAGCGCTTCCCTGGGTCATTCCTAAGCCAGGCACACTAGTGTCTTACTCCTGCTCCTCCTCTTCGTCTTCCTCCTCCTCTCCGCCTTCCACCTCCTCTTTCTCTCTGCCTTCTTCTTCCTCTTTCTCTCCACCTTTTTCTTCCTCTTTCTCTCTGCCTTCCTCCTCTTTTTCTTTGCCTTCTTCCTCCTCTTTCTCTCTGCCTTTCTCTTCTTCCTCCTCTCCGTCTTCCTTCTCTTCCTCCTCCTCCTCTTCTTTTTCCTCTTGAATCCGAGGCAGCTCCCTGAGTTGAGGTCAGAGGCAAGAGGTGAGGTCACTTTTAGCTGCACCCCAAGTCCACTTCCTACCCCAGTTCTCAGTAGGATGTCCTATAACCCCAAGACTGCACCTGGGGAGCCCTGGCCTCTCTCTAGCAATGAAGGCTCCCCCCCTGCATGAGAGGCCTGTCCTGGCCCGCAACCGCCCTGGTGCCAACCTTAGGTCACCCCTCACCCTCCCTGGTCCTCAGTTTCCCCATCTTTGCAACACAGGTCATGGACCTGTGGACCTGAGGCCTCCTGACTTCAGCGGCTAAGACTCCATAGGGACTGAATGGAGAAGCTTCTGTCCTTGCAGAGGGTGACCTGGCCATCACTACCATGGTTACACACTCCCTTCCTCGATGACCCTGCAACTCCCTTCTGGAAATGTATCCTGCAGATATACACACATGCACATTCAGGGACATGTAACAAGAATGCCTGTGGCAGAATTATTTAAAATAATAAAAATGGCCATTAATAGTGGACAAGTTAAGTACAGTATGGCATATCCATACAATGAAATTCTATGCAGTTGTTGAAAAAAATGAGTATGATCTCCATATACTCAATGTGGAAAGATCTCAAGGTACAATGTTGAACGAATGTAATAAGGTCGATGGATGTGATATGCTATCTTTTGTGCAAAAAATGAAGGGAATCCATGATCACATATGCTCCAATAGGCCCTGGAAAGTTACAGAAGAACCTTGGCAGCTGTTGTGCCCATGGGGAGAAAGATGTGTATCTGGTGGGAGGGAGAGGTAGGGGAAGGTATGCTTGGTCCCTGCTCTCTGCCCTTTTGTACCTTGGGGATTCTGTATCATATGCCTGTTATCTTCCCAGACAATGTTTTTTTCAGGGCCTTCTCTGGCTCCCACCTGGGCATCTGCTCCACCACCTCGCCCTTCTCTTCATCAGCTGGAGCTGCCTCTGAGATCTGCGAGCCGGTGCTGATGCTGCCTTCCTGGTGTTCATCCTCCTCCCAGTGAGGGTCAACCTCTTCTAGGATGAGATCCGACTCCTCTTGCTCTCCAGGGAGGATGCTGACTACAGGGGACACAGGGTATGGGGGAGAGTGTGCCTGTGCCTCTGAGTTCCAGGGACCACACAGGGAGCCTTGCTCATCACCAGCCACGCGCCAGTTCTCAGCCAAGCAGTGGAAACAGCATGCTATCACTGGGACTAATGACAACCAGGCCAGTGCTGAAGTGGTGGGCTGAAGCCCATGATAATTCACCCTGTCTCCTTCCATGAGCTCCCCCACTCTCTCTTTCAAGACAAGGCTTCTCTGGAGGCTCGGATGGTAAAGAATCTGCCTGCAACGCAGGAGACCCAGGTTCGATCCTTGGGTCAGGAAGATCTCACCTGGAGAAGGGAAGGGCAACCCATTCCAGTATTCTTGCCTGGAGAATCTCATGGAATGAGGAGCCTGGCGGGCTACAGTCCATGGGGTCACAAAGAGTGGGACACAACCGAGCAACTGACACTCGCTTTTCAATTACAGTTAGTTTTTGTTTCTCAGCAGGGTCTCCCGCTTGGAGGTCTGTACAGAAACGATGCTTCCAAACACAGCATCGCAGGTGATACCATGAGACCCACGCTCAAAGTCCACCTGCCGTATCCAGGTGCAATGGCCTGGAATGCCCCGAGGGTTAGAGAGAGAGCTTGTTCACCACCTGTTCTCCAGATGCCACCCCCGCTGACAGCATACATCGTGCCCATAATCTCAGAACCCGCCTCTGGGAGTCTAGAAAGACTTTCTCTTGGCCTGGAGGCGCCACCTCCAAGGGAACTTGACTTTCTCATGGAAGTGGTCTCACTTTCAACATTTCTCTGTGGACTCTGGTCCCTGGCAAAGAAAGTGGGGCTGTGAGCGTGGCAGAAGTGGGTGCAGGGGAGGTTCATCGGGAACTTGAGCCCACCCCCAGACAGGAGAAAGAGGAGAAAAGATTACCTGGTAGCAGGTGGTCCCCAAAAGCTCCAGGGATCTTGGTGGGCCTGAAGCCAGGTGTGAATTACTAATGGTGACTTTAAGTAGAAGCTGGCCTCAAGTCTTCTCCTTTGACTCTGGGAGTTATTGTTCACAGTGTAGAATAGTAACAATAGTACCAGCTACACTTATTGAGCATTTACTATGTGCCAGGCCCTGTACTAAGTGACTTACATGGATTAACTCAATTAACTCTCACATCAACCTTTTGAAGTGGGAATAACTATTATCCCCATTTTATTTTCCTTCTTTTATGTTTTATTCCCCATTTTACAGATGAGCAAACTGAGATGCAGGTTAAGGATTTCTTTTATAGGGTGTTTCCCTTGCGCCAGGCTCAGAGGCAGTCTGCCTTCCAAGAGTTCTCCCTCCCCACGCCTGCCTCCTGTCTTCCAGGTACGGATGTTATCCTGCCTCACAGAGGAGGTGCCCACGTGCCCTCCAAGGAAGCATCCCACCACATCGTGGGCTACAGTCCTATCTCCCCTATCCCTCTAAGCACCCTGGATTTTGACCAGGGAAGATCCTCCAACTGTGGCCCTGAATCCAGTGGTGGGACATACAGGTCACAGGTGCTTGCTGTTCTATGCTGTCACCCAGCCTTGGTGTGGGGTCTTCATCCGGACCACCCCTTGGGGGTGCAAGTTCCTGCTTGACACCCAGCGGCCACCCAGGGGACAGAATATCCCCTGACCTGTGAGCTCATGAGCCTTTACAGCAACCCTGCAGGGTAAGAACAGTCCTCTCCCTAGTTTATAGACCAGAGAGGCTGAGTGACTTGTCCAAGGCCACACAGGATGCCAGAGGCAGTGCCAGGTCCCCTGATTCATCTCCTAGGTGCTATCCTAGGTAACAAGCATGCCCCAGAAGCACCTCCCTGGCACTGGCAGCCACTCCATGACAGGCGTTGGATGCCATCCTTGCTCACATCCTTGCTTTCCCTCTCGCTAACCCTTTCTTTTTAGGTACTAATTAGTGAGTAGGCATTTTATAAGCATTTCCTCCTTTCATCTCTGTGCCAGGCCTATCCCCATTTTATAGCCAAAGAAAAGGATGGTGCCTGAGATCACCAGTCAGAAAGGGCAGCCAGGGGGTACCGATCCTGGGGCGGGGCCCTCCTGTCCCTGGAGCTGTTTATGGGACCCTCTCTGCAGGCATCTGACTCTCAGCTCTTCCGGCTTTTCCAGGGTCCATCCAGGTGCCCAGGTCACAGATGCGGCCACGAGGCACTATGGATGCTCAAACTAACATGGAAACTGCTGCTCCATCCGGGGCTTAAACTTCACCCTGAGTGCCTCAGGGCACACCCCTTCCTGCACAGTATCCTCCCACCCTAGGGTGGTCTTCAGGGCAGCCAAATGGGGTTCTAACTCCAGTAGCACCAGGTCCATAGCCCTATACAGGGAGGGAGCTGCTGCTTCTAGGACCAGCCGACAGGGAGCCAGGGGCACGGACTCTGGGCCAAGGCCTCCTCCTAGTCCCTGGTTTGCTGGCAAAGCCCTGGCCTGGCCTTAAAACCCCCATCCTCCCTGGCAGGCCTGGGTCACGACACCCGCTCCCTCTGTCTCTCACCGGCCCAGACCCGCATCTTCTAGGCCCTGAAGCACTAACTCCTCACTAACTGGGTATTTCTCAAAGTGTGGTCCTCTCCACTATACAATCATCAGAATCATCTGAGCAAGTGGGTGCTTCTTGAAAGTGCAGATTATCAGGCTCCCACACTCTTTAAATTGGAAGGTCTGGGGGTGGGACATTCTTCATAGCCACCCCCAGATGTAACCTGAAGTTCAAGAACCCCTGCTTCAGTGGCCTTCTCTGCCCCTGACGTGTGCTTAGCCTCAGAGTTATCTCTGCAAAGTCACCGCCCTGCTCAACCACCTGCAACAGCTCCCCGTCACCTAGAGCCTAGTCCCCTGACATCAGGCCCGACTTTTCCAGTTTTACCTTCTGCATCAAGGGCTCTGGGCTCCAGATTAGCTGAAGTGCCCAGCCCTCTCCCCGTACACTCTCACTGCCAGGCATATGTTCACCCTGTTCCCTCTACCAGCTTGCCCTCCCCTCGCTGCCAGTCTGAGACCTCAGGGGTCTCAAAACTCAAAAGGCCTGTGTAGCTGGGGAGATGAGAGTGGAGGGTACCACCTGCTCTCACATGGCAGCTGCCACTCAGACGGTCCCCAACACACAGCGTGGGACCATGACAGCCCGATCTTCCCAGTTGTCAAGAGAAGCCAGGTTTTTCTGTGCCAAGTCACCTGATTTTTCAATGTTGACAACTAATGCCAATGTTTAAAATCCTCCTTGCCCCCAAACAAAGACATCTTGTGGGTCAGCTGGGACCCAGCGCAACTGGCTCAGGACCCCTGGCTGACTCCTTCCGACAATCCCAATATGCGGGCCACATTAATTCACCCACGTCTCAAATCTAAGTACTCCCTTTAGCCTTACCCGGAGCAGTAACATCATGCAATCACAGGTTTGATGTACTACCATATGCTTTTTAATGTCAGTTAAAGCATGTGCTGTCATCCACTAGTGGTCCCAAAATTTTGGAGGGGGAGAACATGGCCAAGCCTAAGGAGATCCTCTTCTGGGAAAAACTGTGTCCCGTGGGGGCACTGCGTGTGTCAGGCACCGTCCTGAGAACTGTGTGGGTGTCCTTTCAAAGCCATGCCCGTGGGCATCCCTGCAGCCTCTGGTGGGAGGTCCTCCCGCTGTCCAGCCTAAACCCTACAGGCTGCCAGGCTGGCCTTCCCTTTGCTTTGGTGGAAAAGGGCAGCCTTAGTCTCTGAAAGGCAGTTCTGGGACTGGCTCCCCATCACCCTGCCTGGGATTAGGGTCGGGGGGAGCAGTAGGGGGTTCAAGGAGGGTGGGGAGTTCAATGGCCACCTCATTCCCCTCCCCAGCAGGTCTTCTCTTCAGGGCACCCTTCTTTCCTTCCATCCATCTGTCCATGTGTCCATCTGCGCTCTCCCAGGCTCCCTTCTCTTTTGTTTCAGAGGCTTCCAGCTGCCACCACCCCTGAAACAAAGGAGAAGACAGAAGAGTGGGTGGCGGGGTGGACAGGCAGAGGGAGTGAATGAGTGAAAGGATGGGGGGGGAGATGGGAGGGGAGCTGGGGGACCGGGCAGGGGAGGGGTTGCCCTTATCTGAACAGTGTTCGCCCCAAGAAACTATATCCCAGTCCTAACCCCTGTTACCTGTGAGTGGGACTTATTTGGAAATGAGTTTTTGTAGGTGTCACTAGTTAAAGATGTCAGGGTGAAGTGATGCTTGATTTAGAATGGGAGGGACCTAAACTCAATGACACCTCCTTATGGAAGACATGAGAGGGAGGTTTGGCGGACACAGAAAAGGCAGAGCTTGGAGGGCATCTAGACGCCAAGGGGCATCAAGGATGGCCAGCAGCCACTGGAGCCAGGAGAGAGGTGCGGCACAGTGCCCATCTCAGAGCCCCAGGGCCGACCCTACCAACACTTCGATTTTAGACTTCCAGCCTCCTGAACTGAGAGAGAATATATTTCTGCCATTTGAGGGTATCCATTTCTGGCCTTTGTTATGGCAGCCCCAGGAAACTGACACACCCTGGTTTCATTCATGACCCACATGCTCCAGGCACACAGCGAGGTCCTGCCTGCAGCTGGCTTTCAGAGGAGCAGGGAGCAGGTCTGGGGTGGGGGGTCCACCCTCAGATCTCTCAGTGGCCCCTGGGGGTGGAGGGGGTAGGTCTCTGTTCCAGGGAAGGGTTTCCGGTCCTCTAACCTTGGCCGGGCTGAGCAGCTGATGCTGGGCCCAAGGGACTCTAGTCACTGCTCCATGACAACTGCTCTGTGACACTGAGCACATCTCTGCCCTTCTGCACACCCCAATAGCCATGGCGGCCCTGCTCTGCACCCTTTAGGGTGGACGTGAGCTCGAGAGTGAGTGAAGCCTGCTCTGAGCCTCCCCCTCACGACACAACCACGATTATACAAACCCCATCGCCTCCCGTGCCTGAGCGCCACAGTCAGCCAGCCTGTGCCTGCCGCCCCGTGTCGGAGTGATCCTGTGTGCTAAGTCGCTTTAGTCGTGTCCAACTCTGTGTGACCCCACGGAGCCCGCCAGCTCCTCTGTCCATGGGATCCTCCAGACAAGAACACTGGAGTGGGTCATAAAGGCCACCATAGTGGGGCTGGGGCAGGCAGCTCTGGGACACCCAGGGCCCACATTCCGAGGGCCTGTGTCCAGGGTAAAAGAGGGCGACTGCCCTGGGCCTGAACTCTGCTCCACTCACCTCCAACTCTCATCACAGGCCTGGCACAGAGCAGCCCTCTGTGAACATTTATGAACGAACGAATGGACGAATGAATGGATGTGTGGGTGCCCCATATGACACATGCCTTTCCAGAGGCCATGACATGAAGGAAGAGCAGATTTTGGATCTCAGCTCTCCCCTCCTGGCCCCAGTCCTCCTACAGGGCTGAAATAAAAGCAATACATACTCCCCACAGGCAAGGGGATGCCCTCCCAGCTCAAGGTGTCCAGTACACCCAGAGAAAGCCCATCTCTCTCGTTTCACCCCATAACCAGGGACTCTGCTGAGCCAAACCCACTAGCCCAGGGGACCATGGGACACTCTCTCCAGGGCGTCGTCGCAGGAAGGGAGGCTCATCTGACTTGATCTCAGAATTATTTTTTCTGGATAGAAGCTGGCAGGCAGGCCAGGTTCCTGCCTATGTGCCCATCCCCTTGGCTCCCTGGTCCCCAGAATGGGGGTCTCCAACCACCATCTGATTCTGGGCCAGGCTCTGGCTACCTGGCCAGGCTGACCTGAAGTGTGGCCTGCAGAGCGTGGGCTCTCCCAGATCCAGGTCTGGAGACTGGTTGCCCCAGCCATCCCCATGTCCTTGCCTGTCCCACGCACACTCAGACCAAACAACCCCCAGAGAGATGCACACAAGGACCCACTAAGATGTCACTTACTGGTCTGCACGTCACATGTCACTGGGGCATCAGACTCCTGTATGGGGAGAAACGGGGAAACACTTTCTGTGGGCTCCTCACCGGCCTTCCTGCTTCAGTCAGCCCTGGCACACAGGGCTAAGAGGGCCTCCTCACAGCGCCCAGGACACTCCCTCCCCCTCGGAGTGGCCTGGTGCGCTAGCCATTCCCCTGCCAGGCTCACCGCTGGCCTGGTCCCACCTTAGCTCCCTTGCCCAGGTGGGCACCGGCCTTGGTTGCCCTCTCTCTGGTCCTCTATGCGTGAAAACCCTCTCCCATCCTCCCGAGGGCTCTCTCAAGGCTCCATCCGCATGCGGGCCGCTCCCCACCAGCGCATCCTCAGACCCCCACGCAGTCAGTGCATCTTCACCCACTCATCATTCCTGCTCCTGGGCACCCCTCTCCCCTCTGGCGGCACTCCAAAGCCGTTTCTTCCTCTGCCGCCCACAGAAGGTGTGTGAACATGGAGCCTGAGGGGTCAGCCGGCAGGGAAGCGGTCCTGAAGCTTCCTGTCCACCTTCCACTAGGGGGACTACCACCCAGGCCTTCCATTCCAGGTGCTTCTATGAAAATGTCCAGTTGTGTCCAAGGGAGAAAAGCCAGGTGGCAGGTTCTTGTAGAGGGAAAGGCAGGCTGCCGTTCTCCCCTCTCCAACCCATGTGGGAGCTCTGGGTCATCAGAAATGCACATGGGGCCCGCTGGCTTCCCACGAGCCCCACGTCCTCCTAGAACATTCTGGGCCTCTCTTGTCTCTGGGCCTTTGCGCATACTGACCTTCTGCCTAAAGGGCCCTTCCTACACCACCTCCTTCACTTTCACCCACCTTCTCCTTACTCCTCCTTCAGGTCTCAGCTTGCAGGCCACCTCTACTAGTAAGCCCTCCGTGATGCTCCTGGGAGGCTCCTCCTCTGCACCCCACATCCTCTCTGCTCTCCCCATGGAACCACCTCCCCACTGACTGTGACCACCTGGCAGGCGGTCACCGTGCTCACAGTGACCAGAGTGTGTTTGTGTGTGGAATAGACACAAGCCATGCAGACAGGCAGGCTGGGGGGGCTGAGTTCCGGTTGCAGGCTCCCTTCTTCCATCTGTGCCCTCCCCCACCAGGGACCATCTCACCCTTGTCTGAGCTCCCAGGACCCTCCCACCACCACTACCCAGGATCCCTACTCCCCCAGACAGCACCCACCTGCTCCCCACCCTTCCCACGGATCACTGGCTGTGGCAGGGCCATCTCCAGCCTGTGTAGGATCCAGGCCATCAACCTGCAAGAGGGAGAAAGAGAAGGGGCCATGTCCAGGGAGGAGAAGCAGCCCAGGGAAGACTGAGGCCAGAGTCAGACCCCTTCCCAAGGCAGGTAGCAACCTGCCAGAAGATGGACCAGAACCCAAGTGCCCAGCCCTGAACACCACTGCCCCATCCCTGGCCTCCCCAGGTGAGCCTTTGGTGATTGTTCAGACCCCAGCAAGTAACTCAGTCCCCCACTACCCTCCATCCCATCTCTAAGATTCATTTCCAGCCCCTCACACACTGCCAGGGTGGGAGCACTTAGCAGTACCTATCTTGATTTTATTTTTTTGGCCACATGGCATCAGGGATCTTAAATTTCCCAACCAGAGATTGAACCCGTGTCCCCTGCATTGGAAGAGCGGAGTCTTAACTACTGGACCACCAGGGAAGCAGCTATCCTGATTTTAAATGTGTCTATCCTTGGAGCTAACAACTCCATTTCCTCTGATTCATTCGCACACGAACGCGATGATGCCTGTAGAAGTATATTAACTGTCGCAAGAGTGGAAACCCACCTAAATGTCCACCGAATGGTTAAATAAAAGCTGGTACATGGGTATAATGAAGTAGTATGCAGCCACTGAAAGAGTGGAACTGACCTTTATGTGTAAAAACCACCTCTAAGATACATCTTTAGGTTAAAAAAAAAAGTGAGATGAACTGGAATCTACTGCTAGAATCTAGCATATCTAGAGTTTGCTGCTGCCGGGTATGTATGTTTGAAGGAGAAATGTTCTCCGAGCTCGTCTGCATCTCGGAATTGTGCAGAAGCAGGAGAAGCTGCCTGAGAAGGCAATGGCACCCCACTCCAGTACTCTTGCCTGGAAAATCCCGTGGACGGAGGAGCCTGGTAGGCTGCAGCCCATGGGGTCGCAAAGAGTCCAACATGACTGAGCGACTTCACTTTCACTTTTCACTTTTATGCATTGGAGAAGGAAATGGCAACCCACTACAGTGTTCTTGCCTGGAGAATCCCAGGGATGGGGTCACACAGAGTCCGGACTGAAGTGACTTAGCAGTAGCAGAAGCTGCTGATGTGATTGCCCAGGGAGGGGGCACTGCAAACCCGTTGGAATTTTCTCCCAGGTGCATGTGTTACTTTTCTAATTTAAAAGACTCTTTTTTTTTGGGGGGGGGGGGGTGGTGAGGTACTGGGCTGGGGCCAGGCATTGAGCCTGCTGCCTGTAGGAGCAGAGGTGTTTGAGGGGCTCACCTGGCAGAGTCCTGTGGGGGTGGCACGGAGGAGGCTTGAATACTGGGCTGGGGCTCTGGGGTCGGTTCTTCCTCAGGCTCTGGGGGGCCAGGAGCAGGCAGGGAGGGGCTCTCCTGGGCCTGTGGCACGGGCTTGATCTCCGGGGCGGGTCCTGGGGGCTCTAAGTAAAAGGGGCGGGGGGGGGGGAGGGGGCGGATAAGGAGGACATGGTGGGGCTCCATGCAACCCTTAAGGGCATGGGATCCAGATTCGAAGTGCCAGTGTGACTGAGTGGGGAGCCCTTCGGGACCACCCTAACTGGCCCCGTCCTCAGACAGACATGGAGCTGAGGTGCAGGGACTTGTCCGGGCCTTCACGAGGCTGTCCCTGGCTTCCCAGCCTGGACTGGGGAAGGGGTTTCAGGGTTCCCACAACAGCCAGTTCCCTGCAAACTGAACCCCTTCCCGAGCATCCTTGGAGCCCCATTTGTACCCGCAGCCCAGTCTGTGACCATCCCAGGCAGCCCCTCCCCAGGTTCCTTCCCCGTACCTGGACCCAAGGCAGCATCTGTAGGCTCATCGCTCCAGCCCTGGGTCAAAACAGGAAATGACGTCACGGAGGACCAGGCACATTGCGCTCAGGCCTGGGCCAGCCCCGCCCACCCTTCCCCACCATCCCCGCCCACCCTTCCCCACCACCCTTTCCCCCCGACCCCTCGGCCCTCTTGCCGCCCCTCCTCCCCACTAAGGACCCTCCCGGGAGGGACCCGCCATGGGTCCCAGGGGTGAGGACCACTTGCTGGAGTAGGTAGGCCCTTCCTGGGTAGTCAGATGCCTGCTCTCCCTTTTCTTCAACTCACCTCAGAGATTTTCGGGGGCTGAGGCAGCCTTTTCTCCAGATTCTGCTCGAACCACCGGAGCAGCCAGGGCCCGGGCCTGCACAGGGGCCAGCGGTCAGCTGAGCAAACTCAAGAGATGAGCCCTTCCCCGGCTCCCATTCTGCACAGTGGGGACCTGGGACTGCATACTCTTAAAGGGCTTCCAGTGGTAGGGGGACTTCCGCCAACCTGAAATTCTGACCCAAGGCTGGACAAGGCTCTGGAACCACAGGCCCAGCCTTGGCCTCCTGGACAGCAGATGACAGTTGGGGCTGCTTGCGGACCTGAATGCAGCATTGGGGTCGGGGGTGCTCCCTGTGACTGGCACAGAGAAGTCTGGCTTCATGGGTATATGAACAGTGTGGTCACACAGGGCCCCATACCTAGAAAGGCTCATGTTTGGTTTAATGCTGTATTGTCACCATCTTAATCCTGCATTTTCATTTTGCAGTGGGCCCCACCATTTACATAGCTAGCTCTGGGATAAACACTGGGTCCCCAGATCCATCTAGCTTCCAGGCAGCCCTACTGTCTTCAGGGAAGCTCCATGCTCCCAGGGGAACCTATCTCCCAGGTGTGGCCCAAAAGAAAGCTGGCAAGTCCTCTGGGTGCCTTCATCCTCAATGGCTTTACTGGTCTCACGTCTCCAGAGTAACCCTGGGGACCCATGACCTAGGCAGCCTCCAGGGGACAAAAGAAATAGAGAGCAAGTGGGAGCAATGAATGAATAAATGAATGGTATGTGTGATTGTATATTCATTCATTCATCTCTTCTGTGCTGAGTCGCCTTTGTACGGCAGGCACTGTGCTGGTCACTAGGGGTTTGGCAGTGACCTAGACAAACACCCCCGAGTTCAAGGACCCGACAGTCTAACAAGGCACAGGCAGGTGGAGCTCAGTGAGGCCCCTCCCAGGAGAGGGGCATGGGCTCCCCCATTTGCCACAGTCACCACCCAGCCTGCCACCCTCTCAGTCAGTTCTGAGAAGGCAGAGCAAGTGGAGCAAGAATGTCAGTCGCTCAGTCGTGTCCGACTCTTGGTCACCCCATGGACTGTAGCCCACCAGGCTCCTCTGTCCATGGGATTCTCCAGGCAAGAATACTGGAGTGGGCTGTCTTCTCCTTCTCCAGGGGATCTTCCTGACCCAGGGACCGAACCCAGGTCTGCATTGCAGGCAGATTCTTTACTGTCTGAGCCGCCAGGGAAGCACCCTGAGAAGTCAGAAGCTGTGGCCAGCTGTGAGGCCAGCTGGGCACCCTAGCGTCCCCCATGGTGGCCCAGACCCTGCCTCTGGACACCCACCTCCATGTGGCACCCACCTACACAAGGCCCACCCCAAGCAGCTCACCCATGCCTTCTCCCCGTCCTCAGAAAGTGGCCCCTATCCAAGGATCTCCCAGTAATGAACACAAAAAACTATGAGCAGCACAGGGCCCATTATTCCCATTTTGTGGATGAGAAAAGTGAGGTCTAGAAGAGCCAAGAGGCATGTCCAAGGTCACACATAGAGGTAGTGGTGGACCCTGGGCTCTGAGCATGCTGAGCCCACCACACACACCACAGATGGGGCTCGGGGACAAGGACTCACCCGGGGTCTTTGGCCCTGGAGGGTTCACTGGGTTCATCTGCAAAAGAAAAGAAGCCTGTCAGCAGCAGGAGGCCTGCCCAGAGCCCCTGGTCAACCCAACTCAAACCCAGGTTTGAACCAGGCCTGAGACAGATGAGCTCTGGCCCCATGGACTCTTCCCCCAGAGCTGGGCCCAACCCAGCAGCCCCTAAGTGCTCAGTTGCTCAGTCATGTCTGATTCTTTGTGATTCCATGGACTGTAGCCTGCCAGGCTCCTCTGTCCATGAAATTCTCCAGGCAAGAATACTGGAGTGGGTTACCATTTCCTTCTTGAGGGGATCTTCCCAACACAGGGATTGAACCTGCATTTCCTGCATTGGCAGGCGGACTCCTTACCACTGAGCCACTAGGAAGTCCTAGCAACCTCTAAACCCACCACTAAAGTGCCATCCAACCTCCTGTCCTTACCTGAGCCCCCAGTGTCACACTGCCCAAGGACCTGTGCTCCTGCCTGCTGAGACAGACAGACAGACAGACGGACGTGGGCAGAGGATACAGGTGCGCTGGCCTCCCTCCCACCCTTTCCCCACCTGACCCACCTCAGCTCCCAACCCCAGTAATACCTGATCTGGACTCTCCAAGCCAGCAGCAGTGTTCTGGGCGGGCCTGCTGCTGCGGACGGGCTGCGGGACAACCTTCTCCACGCCCTTCCTGAGCCAGGTCAGCACCCAGCCTCTGGGACCGCTGAGGGACAGAGAGACCAGCCTGCCCTCAACGTCCCCAGCCCCTCCCTGGTCAGCATGGCAGTCCACAGCATCCTAAAGAACTTGGTTTGAGCCCCAAGCCTCTATCTCCCACTGTGACTCTTCAGACACATCAACTCCCTCCTAGAGTCTCGTGTCCCTCTCTGGAAAATGGGGAACGCCAGTGCTTGCCGAGGTCAGGCCTGCCCCATGCCATTCGAAGCCCACCCCACTGAGACACTCAGTAAGACATCAGCCAGGTATCCTTGTGCCCAGTTAGCCTGGCTCCAGGGGGCCCCTCCTGCACTTCGCTCGTGTCTTGTGTTCTGGAAGGGTTGAGGGTTTCCTGTGGAGTGTTTCCTTGTGACAGAGGCTTGTCAGCCTAAACAGAATCACAGATTCACCGTCTGAGGCCAACCCCGCCACAGACATGCTCACTGGGGCAACCACCCAGGGTCTAAAATGTGACCTTTGGGGGAGATTTCATGGGAAATTCTGGATTTCTGTCTTCATAGGGAAAATCAGAAGCTCTGGCCACACCAAACCTGCATTTCACCTGAGCACTGAGAAATCTCTGGTCCCCAGCCTCCTTTTCTCTTGGTCATACAGTCGATTTGGCCCAGGAGACCCCCCTCCTCTGCCTGAGGCTCCCCTCAGCCAATTCCTAAGGTCACCTGGGCCTTTGCTTGGGAATGACTGCAGACCAGAGAGCAGTGGCCATCCCCGCCCCCTCAGTGGGAGGGCCCCCAAGCCCCCTCCCTATCTTGGGTGGGGGCTGGCCCTGAGGAGAGGGGAGGGTGCTGCAGTACCTGTTAGCTTCGGGAGCCACAGAGACCTGGGCCTGGAGGGATGTGGGCGGAGTGAGAGCAGTCTCCTGGGTTCCTGGAAAGAGTCCCTCTGACTTTAGGACTGGACCCTCTCAGAGACCCGTTTCTACCCTTCTGGGGAGGTCAAGTCAGAGGCAGAGGAGAAGGGAGAACCCTGAGGGAGTTGGAAGCCTGCAGTCCCAGCTCAACTCAGCTAAAAAGTCCCCAGGAGTCTGCCCTTAGCTTCCCTCAGCCTCAGTTTCTTCATCTGTGAAATGGGTATGCCAGCCTCATGGGCTACTGTAGGGCTCTAAGTGGAGGATACAGCCCTTCTCCCTCCCCTCCTTCCCCCCACCCACCAGCCAGGGCTTCCAGCACTCACCTTGAGAGCCCAGAGTAGCCGCAGCCACTTCCTTCTCCATGCAGGGCTCCTCCGGTGGCTGGAGGGTTCAAACAGGGCCATGTGAGTCCCCAGTGATGCCAGCCCTGGTACAGGCAGAGCCAGCCCTCGACCCACCCATGACCAAGCCCCTACAAGACCAAATAGGTCTGTTCTCACAGTGGTCTCTGAAATCCTAGGGCCTCACCTCCCACCTGGGAGACAAAGTGTCTCCCAGAAAGCTGCCCCACTCAAGTATACACACACTTATATTTGCATATAGACCCAGACACAGATATTTGTTTGTACACACGTACATGTATATGCCCAGTCACATAAACATACACACACACATATATAGGCGTATACAAATATACTTGTGGTTTTGCACTGACACACAAATATGCACTCATGAACACATTATTTCAGGTCTATTAACACACAAAGACACACAGAGATGTGCATACATGCACAGGTGCACGAAATATGTGTATAAATCGAGATCTGTCCCAAGCGTGGACCAGGAACCAATGGCAGTCTGCAAACTGTTACTGGTCCACAATGTTTAAGAGGTTTGCAGCAGAGTGTATATCAACACACTGCTTCCTTTAAGGAGAAAGTCGTACTGCAAAACAATACCAGCTGAACTAAGCAGTGTGCTTAATACATAGTAGATTTATCTCTAGCAAGCTCCTGGTCTCCTCCTGGACTGGCAACAAACAGTTCAGGGCCTGGCTACTTTGATTAGTTCTGTTCTAGACTCTAGAGGTTAGAAAACAATGGTCAGTGGGCCAAATCCAGCCTAGTGCTAGCTTTTGCAAATAAAGTTTTATTGGAACACAGACACCATGTTCATTCATTTACATGTTGTCCATGGCTGTTCTCACACTACAGCGGCAGAGTTGAGTAATTAACAGAGATAGTGTGACCTACAAAGCTTAAAATGTTTACTATCTGGCTGTTTACAGAACCAGGAGACTCCGGACACCCACGTTTCCTTTTGGCCCCAACTTTCCCTGTTGTGGAAGCTGAGTGGGGGCAACTGACCCACGCTGGGGATTCTCTGAGCCGCAAGGCCAGCGTGCCCTTCCTGGCTCTTCAGTTCTTACCAGGGACACTTCCTCTAGCTCAGCCTCCTCGGGGGCTGTTTCGGGCTTCGGCTCCAACTCTGGCCCTGGTTCTGCCCCCTCCTCCTCTCGCTTGGTCTTCTGAGGTGTCCCTGGGGGCTGAGGCAGCACCCTCTGGACCCAGCCCAACATCCTGACACCTGTAGGGGACAAAAGTCCTTAGGTAGCCCCCGAGTGCTCACGGTTGCCCCCACCTTTCATGGGCTGCTTTTGTGAGTTACCTGTTTCCCTTTTCTTTCACCATCTTTAAAAAACATTTTTGCAATTATCCGTCCAGGTATTTTCCTTATAGAAACATTCAAGCCCACAAACATATGTGTGTAAAGAGGTGGGTCATGATAGTGTTAGAGGAAAAGATGAAAAACATCCACATATCCACCCGTGTGTTGTTTATTCACTTAAGTCATATCTGACTCTTTTGTGAGCCCATGAACTGTAACCCACCAGGCTCCTCTGTCCCCAGGATTTCCCAGGAAAGAATACTGGAGTGGGTAGCCATGTCCTTCTCCAGTGCATCTTCCCAACCCAGGGATTGAACCCATGTCTCCTGCATCGCAGGCAGATTCTTTACTGCTGAGCCACCAGGAAAGTCTGTAGGAGACTGGTTATTGGGAAGTACCTAACTGTTCATCTGTAAGCAGAGCGCAGGCTAAATAAATATCCAATGATGGTGTATTATGGAGCCATTGATTTTAAGTAGATCTATTTGAATTAACATGGAAAGACCTACATGCTCCAGACTCCAGTCATGAGCAAATTGAGTAAATGCTCTATACCTCAGTTTGCTTGTCTGGAAAATGAGGATGTTAATAGTAGCTATCTTGTGGAGATAACTGTGAGGATAAAACAAACTGATGAGAAGAGTGACTGGCACATGATGAGAGCTTAATAAATGTTGGCTGTGACTATTATTGGATGTCAAACAAAAATGCTAATTTTAGTTTATCATGTTCAGCATAACCCCATTATAAATTTTTTTTATAAATTTTTTAAAATACATGATGAGCAGCATATGAATGGAAAATAACTTTTTTGCTTAATATATTATAAAAATTAACACATTTTCGTGATTTAGAAGTTTTTAAGATAAAATGACAGGCTCCCCTTTTCACGGTTTACTGCGATAGCTACCTTATGTGGGTTCAGATTCTGGCTTCACGTATCTTTAGGGAATGGGCAGCCCTTACCTTATGATCATACCCCTGCAGGACGGCCTGGCGCAGCGAGTATCACACAGATCAATATATGCAAACTGCCAGCCCTTATAGGGCGTTTTTGAGGCTGTGCTGTCATGATATGTCCTCCTTCCCCTGGCCATGGGCAGCCAAGGTATTAGTAAAGTGCTTCTCTGTCCCTACACTGCCAGGGACCCGGGTCTAGGGCTGCAAAGGGCAATCACAGGCCCAGGATCCCTGCCTCACAGCCCAGCTCCACACGGCCTGCCCTTCTGCTCACAGCGCCAACTTCTGTCTCCACTCTGGCATCAGCAGCCCAACTCCTCCTAAGTGAATCTGTGGTTTGGGACACAGCTCTTAGTGAGGGGGTCAGATCCCTGGCTCAGCTGCCCACAATGTGAACCTGGGCCAGACACGACATCTCTGGTCTTCCCTTTCCTTGTTGGGTGTGGGGGTGTGGCCACTGATTTCCAAAGTGGGCAGAGCCTCACATGGTATGTTTAGGATGGCAGATTTCACCACCCCAATCAAGCACAGGCAGCTCCAAAAGCCACGATCACTTCATCCTTGTTCTCACCTCCGCCTCCTCCTCAGCCTCAGGAAAATAAGCATTTTTTCATCACCGATTTATAGCTAAGGAAATGGAGGCACAGAGAAGTCAGGAGACCTGCCCCAAATAACACAGCCGGTAAGTGACCCGGCTGAGCTTACGCTTAGTCTGGCGTGACTCCAAATGTCCTACATCTACCTGGAAGTGCTGACATTTGCCCAGGATTGGCTGCTTCTGCACCCCAGTCCTACGAGCCATTTCCCAGCAGGCAACAATTCTGGCTTGTGTTTCTGAACCTTTTGGAAATGACTAGGGGAGCCTTCCCCACTCCAGTTTTCCTTCTTTTCCCAGCCATTTCCTTCTTGACAGAAACACGTGCAGGTCCCTCCCGTCTTTTTGCCCTGTTGCTGCTGATTCCTCATTGATGAGGGAGGCATAGGCAGGAAGGGAGTGGTACTCAGAGCAACAATGGTACCTGGACCACCAGCCTTTCACAATCTTCGAGGGAAGCTGGGGGGATGCAGATTCTTAGGCCCCTCTAAACACTCTGCAGGACCTGGAATCCGTATTTCACAAGCTGCCTTGGAAATTCACTAAGGTTTGAGACTCACAGGGAAAAACAGAAGCCTCAGGTTTCCAGCCTTGCCAGATTCTCCATGTCTAAACGCCTTGCTGGGAGAAGAGCATGGAAGGGGTCCCATCAGGGGTCCCACAGAGCCACCACCTCACCCTAAGTTACCTGCTCGGATGCCGTCCACCAGCCAGGACTTGCCTTCTTCCTGCTTCTCTCGGCTGGCCTCTCAGACACAGCGGGGATTAATTGGCAGCAGCAGGGCCGTGTGCAAAGGATTAGGAGATGCTAGAGAGGGTGGGGAGGTGGTGGTGGAAGAGAGGCGATCGATGCCAAGGGAGCTGTCAGCAACCCCCCAGGGGCCAGCAGGGATCTGGGCCTCAGGGAAGGAGCCCCACGCAACCCTGGTTGGGGCATTGTGATTCCCCACAGACCTTGACCAGCCCATCTAGTGATGGTGGGAGAATAACTGCTTACAGTCCTCAGGGAATCCTGGGAGACTCCTCAAGGTGACAGGGGCTCATCAACTCTCAGTCAGCAGTGACAGTAGGCACATCCCAGCTCTCCAGTCCCAAAGCAGGGACTCAAGCAGAGTCTTTCTGTCCCAGAATCTTCTGCAGCTTGGGCAGGGTCTCAGCACCCCCTGCCTTGGGATCCACCAGAATGGCTATAGTCCCAGGGCTGGGCCTTTAGGGAGGTTCCAAGGACTGATGACTGACTAAATTCAAGCTGGCCTCCTGAACTGAAGTCAGACCCTAGAGGGGAGATGGTGATCTCAGGGGAGAAGGGGAGAGGGACAGAGACCCATTGCAAAGGGGTTCAGTGAGGTGACAGGACCTGGGTGGGGGACAAGGCAGTGGGCTGTTTAGCAAAAGTCAGGGGACTTAAAAGGCAGAGACATCACTTTGCTGACAAAGGTCTGTAGAGTCAAAGCTATGGTTTTTCCTGTAGTCATGTATGGATGTGAGAGTTGGACCATAAAGAAGGCTGAACACTGAAAAACTGATGCTTTCAAATTGTGCTGGAGAAGACTCTTGAGAAGCCCTTGTACTTCAAGGAGGTCAAACCAGTCAATCCTAAAGAAATCAACCCTGAATATTCATTGGAAGGAATGATGCTGAAGCTGAAGCTCCAATACTTTGGCCACCTGATGGGAAGAGCTCACTCATTGGAAAGACCCTGATGCTGGGAAAGATTGAAGGCAAGAGGAGAAGAGGGTGAAAGAAGATGAAATGGTTGGATGGCATCACCGACTCAATGGACATGAGTTTGAGCAAGCTCCAGGAGATAATGGAAGACAGAGGAGCCTGGCGTACTGCAGTCCACAGACTCGCAGATAATCAGACATGACTTAGAGACTGAACAGCAGGGGACTTGACTTGATCATCTACAATGTTTCTCAACCTTGCCTATGTGCCAGGCAGCGTGCCAGCCTCAGCACACTGAGAAAGACAGAAATTGGACCTGCCCTCACAGAGCTTCTATGCCAATGGAGGATTCAGAAATAAAAAAGATTAATGATGAGTTTGAAAGTATTATAGATATGCTGAGTGCCATGAAAGAAACACACAGAGCAGAAACATGTATGAGGTGATAAAGATCTAGGGGTGGGCATAAGTGCCTCTATGCAGAGGCAAATATTTGAGCTGAGATGTAAGATTTAAGTGAATGATGTTCCAGGCAGAGGACACTGGAAGGGTAAATAAAGGTCTTGAGGCTGAAATGAGCTTGGATGCACCTGAGGGACAAAGTGGGACCGGGGGCTTAGTGGGGACAGGGGAGAGTGGTGGGAGATGAGCTCCAGAACAGATCAGGTAGGGCCTGTAAGCCACAATCAGAAGCTTGGGTTTTAGCTGATGGCCCATGGAAGCCCATGATGGTTCAGTTTAGAACTGGGGCTACAATCAAAAAATGGGCCAAAGAACTAAACAGACATTTCTCCAAGGAAGACATACAGATGGCTAAAAAACACATGAAAAGATGCTCAACATCACTCATTATCAGAGAAATGCAAATCAAAACCACAATGAGGTACCATTACAAGCCAGTCAGGATGGCTGCTTTCCAAAAGTCTACAAGCAATAAATGCTGGAGAGGGTGTGGAGAAAAGGGAACCCTCTTACACTGTTGATGGGAATGCAAACTAGTACAGCCGCTATGGAAAACAGTGTGGAGATTTCTTAAAAAACTGGAAATAGAACTGCCGTATGACCCAGCAATCCTACTTCTGGGCATACACACTGAGGAAACCAGAGCTGAAAGAGACACGTGCACCCCAATGTTCATCGCAGCACTGTTTATAATAGCCAGGACATGGAAGCAACCGAGATGCCCATCAGCAGATGAATGGATAAGGAAGCTGTGGTACATATACATCATGGAATATTACTCAGCCATTAAAAAGAATTCATTTGAATCAGTTCTAATGAGATGGATGAAACTGGAGCCCATTATAGAGAGTGAAGTAAGCCAGAAAGATAAAGACCATTACAGTATACTAACATATATATATGGAATTTAGAAAGATGGTAATGATAACCCTATATGCAAAACAGAAAAAGAGACTCAGATGTATAGAACAGACTTTTGGACTCTGTGGGAGAAGGCGAGGGTGGGATGTTTCAAGAGAATAGCATCAAAACATGTATATTATCTAGGGTGAAACAGATCACCAGCCCAGGTTGGATGCATGAGACAAGTGCTCGGACCTGGTGCACTGGGAAGACCCAGAGGGATCGGGTGGAGAGGGAGGTGGGAGGGGGGATCAGGATGGAGAATACATGTAAATCCATGGCTAATTCATGTCAATGTATGACAAAAACCACTACAATATTGTAAAGTAATTAGCCTCCAACTAATAAAAATAAATGAAAAAAAAATAGAACTGGGGCTGGACACAATCTGTGAGGCTGCTATCTGGTGGGCAGGTGTGGAAGCAAGAAACTAGTCGGGAGGTAGTGGAGGAGCAAGCCACTTTGTGACTGGATGACCCGTGGGCTCTCCTTCTTATGCTAAAACTCGGATATGCGATTCACCGGCAAGGCAACTGGTATCAGAGAATGCTCTTTCTGTCAGCACGGTTGGACACCAATGGCAGAGCTTAAGGTGGTCCCTGTCATGCTTTGTCAATACGCCCAGCTGCTGGGGATCAGTGCTCCTCCCAGGTATCTCCAGCCAGACACCTGCTAGGAAGGGCCAGCTCTTCTGCTCTGCCTGGGTGCCCAAGTGATGACCTGTATCATCAGTGACACCTGCCCTCACCTCTGGCTCAACAGAGGCCAGGGCAGAGACGATGAGTCTTGGACTAGGGTGGCAGGGGAGAGCAAAGGGGAGGGGACGGAAGAGGGAGGTATTGAGAGTATTCAGCTTGGGAAGAGTTTTGGGGGAAAGTCATGAGCTCTATTTGGTTACGATGTCTGAGAGACATCTGAGTGGAAATGTGCAGTGGGTAGCAAGAGGTGTGTGTGTGTTGCGGTGGTAGGGGTGGGGGGGTGGGTTGGAGTTTAGGAGAGCCGGACGCCTGGAGATAGAAATTTTGGAGGCATCAGCTCACCTTATAAATGATGGTTAAAGCTGCAGGACTGATTGAATCCAATGTAAAGAAGAGAAGGACCAAAGATGATGACTGGCATGGTGTGATTTGGGGAGAAGGAAGAGGGGCTGGGAAGGAAACTGATGGAGCCGCCGGGGAGGGAGGAGGAGGACCAAGAAGTGGAGTGTGCTGCAGCCAAGACAGGTGAGTGTGCTGGGAAGATGAATGGTCTCCTGGGACCACCATGTGAGCCAAGGCTGAGCTGTGCCCCCAGGCTGCGCAACCCGGAGCAGGATGCCTGGGCAGTGGGCAGAGTCAGGTGGGCCTGGCTGCAGAGTAATGGGGCTCAGCCACACCCCCATTGGATGACTCTCTGATACTTATACACAGAAAAAAGCCAGACTCAAAAGATCCCAATGGTTTGTGTATACAAAGCTCAAAAAAGAGCATTATCAGCCTGTCTTGTCTGTATGGCTGCAAACATAGGTAGTGAAACTACAAAGAGAAGCGGAGGGGGTCTTCCCTGGTAGTCCAGTGGTTAAGACTTCACCTTCCAACGCAGGGGGTGTGGGTTCTATCCATGGTGGGGGAACTAAGAATCCACATGCCTAGGGGCCAAAAAACATAAAACAGAAGCAATATTGTAACAAATTCAATAAAGACTTTAAAAATGGCCCACATTGAAAAAATCTTAGGAATGAAAAAAAGAAAAGCAGTGGTTATACTGCTCAGCCAGCAGACAGGTTACTTCTTTTAGGAGGTGGGATTGGAAAAGGGGCTGTGGAAGCTCCTAGCAGCTGGCAGTGCTCTGAAGTGTTTTATTTAGCTGACATCAATTTTTAATACAACATTATTGTAGTATAATTTGTATGCCATAAAATTCACCCATTTTAAGTATACAGCTCAATAACGTTTAGTAAATTAACTGGACAATGCCACATCTACTTTCAAAAACAAATCTACTTCAGAACATTTCCATCACCCCCAATAAGATCCTTCATGCTCATTAGTCATTCCCCATTCCCACACCCAGGCCCAGGCAACTAGTCTTGTCTCTAAAGATGTTCGTTTTCTAAACATTAAATACAGATGGAGTGTACGATATTTGGAGTGTTTTTGTATCTGGTTTCTTTCATTTAATATAATGTTTTGATGGTCATTCACTTTGTGGCATGTATCCATAATTCTTATCTTTTTCATTCCCAAGAGTAGTCCATGGCTCTATCTATATTCCATAGATATACCACAGTCTATTTATCTATCCATTAATCAACTTGTTTCCATATTTTGGCTATTATAATTAATGCTGCTATAAATATCTGCATGCAAGCCTTTGTGTGGACATATATTTTCATTTCTCCTGGGAAAATTCTTAGGGGTAGAATTTCAGGGTCATATGGTAAATTTAAGGCTTCCCAGGTGGTGCTAATGGTAAAGAACCCACCTGATAATACAGGAGATGCAAGAGACAAAGGGTTTGATCCCTGGGTCGGGAAGATCCCCTGGAGAAGGAAATGGCAACACACTCCAGTATTCTTGCAGGGAGAATCCCATGGGTGGAGGAAAGTGGAGGGATACAGTCGAGTGTCACAAAGAGTCAGACATGACTGAAGCGACTTAGCACACACACATACTCATGGTGAATTTATGTTTCATGTTTTAAGAGATTGCTACACTGTTTTGCCAAGTAGTACCCCTGTCTTGACCTGACTGTTGGTTACAAGGAGTCTCACTTTTTCAGCTGTGTCCGATTCTCTGTGACCCGATGGACTGTAGCCCCGCCAGGCTTCTCATTCCATGGGATTTCCCAGGCAAGAATACTGGAGTGGGTTGCCATTTCCTTCTCCGGGGGATCTTCCCGACGCAGGGAGCAATCCTGGGTTTCCCACATTTCAGGCAGACGCTTTACCCTCTGAGCCACCAGGGAAGTCCAGTAATTATGAGTTATATTACATATTTAAGCACTTTTTCAATTTTGTTATTTTTTAAGATTTTTTTTGATGTGGACCATTTTTAAAGTCTTCATTGAATTTATTAGAGTACTGTTTCTTTTTTTTTTTTTTTAATGTTTTGTTTTTTGTCTGGGAGGCATGCAGTATCTTAGCTCCCCAACCAGGGACTGAAACCACACCCCTAGCATTGGAAGCACGGAGTCTTAATGACTGGACCATCAGGGAAGTCCCTGGATTTTGTTATAATTTTAACTTTAAAAGAGTGAAAATTTTTCAATGAGGTGGTGAATGAAGTCAACCCTAGGAAATTTTTCTCTAAGGGATGGGACTTGGAGATGCTGCTCGGGGGCTGGATGGAACACTACACTAGAGGAGGAGGAGCTAGGGAGCCAAATCCTGCAGGAATCCCACAGCAGGGGTCCCATGGTCCATTAGGCTCAGCAAGTGGACAGGTGTATGCAAAGCACATGCCAAGATATGCAAATAAGTTAGCATCTCCACAGGGTTTCCTCATGGGGGTGGAAGGGCTTCCCCCCTCCAGTGGTTTTTTTTTTTTTTTTTGGCTGCACAGGGCCACAGCAGTGAAAGCGTTGAGTTATAACCACTGGACTGCCAGGGACCTCCCTCAGTGGTTCTGAACACTTCAGGGTGCTTGGCTTAGGCCCTCGTGACCTCGCTTTGGGAAGGTGGGAGGGAAGCGGCAGGCCTACAGGGGTCTGGCCGTGGAGTATCACCTGCTAATCCCTGTTGTGCTGAGGCCACCAATCTCACTGATCCCCTTATGCTGACCCTGGATCCTGGCAACCACTAATCTCCACCTCTGGAGCCTCAAGGACTGGCAGACAGGGTAGTGCCCGCTTCCCTGAGGTCTGCGAGGAGAGAAACACCCTGCCAGTTCAGATACCCCTCTTGACAGGTCCCAGGACCCTTGCCTAACAGAGATGGGAACTTTGAGGCCCAGAGAGAGACAGTAACTAGTCTAAGGCCACACAGTCTGCCCTGGCCAGCCCTAGCATGATTAGCCCCAGGAAACCCCAGCTCCTTGTCTGATTTTCTCAACATTCCCATCCTGTGTGAGCCCCAGAGACAGCAACCTTCAGGAAGGCCAAAGAAGGGGGCCAGTGCAAGGACCCAAGGGGGCAGCAGGCTCTTCTCCTTGGAGCCTGTGGTTGCCAGGGTTGCCAAGGAGCCGGTGCCCTCACAATGAGCCTGCAATGAGCATTGTCTCTCCAGAATGTCCCTTTATTCTCCTGTCTCATAAGGCACTGGGGCCTGGCCCATCTCTCTACCTCTCTTCCCCATTGAGCGGGCAAAGGAGGAGAAAATCTCTATAAGCCTGTGCACCTGGGGCTGGTGGCCTGCAGGTGAGGTACTGCAGAGGTGGATGGGGGGCAAGGGGCCCGCCCTCCCCCTCCTCTCACTGCTCCCATTCCCTGTCCCTCCCTTCGAAAGCCCAGCGCCTGGGGCAGCTTCCCCATCCAGTTGTCATGCCCTCTCCCCACTAAAGGTCCTCTCTCCTCCTACCCACCTCCCTGTTGCCCGCCTCCATCTCTCACCACCCACTAGAGTCAGAAAGGAAGCAACTGGACTCAATAAATTCTCACTGAAGTTTAAACTACTCAAAGGCTCTGGGAATATCTGCTTTTTAAAAGGGAGCACTGGAGAACCAGCCATATTTTTTTCTAGTTCATATCCATTATGTTTCTCCCCTTATTTAAAACGTCCCCATGTCTCCCTGTAGAATGCTGAGTAAATGCCAGGTACCTGAGCTAATGCCAGAAATCCATAATTAATTACCCAGAGGCAGGCGGAGCCCACTTCTGAACCCACTTGCTGCTGTTGCTTCCTGCTCATTATTGCAGAATAGACACAAATGGCTTCTCTTTAGACAATTCCCTGAAAGCCCCAGCCCCAGTCTCCCCACACACACCCCCTCCCGTACGGACCTCTGCCAGAGCCCTTAGCACATGCTCTGTGAGTGTGTGTATATCCGTGTGTGTGTGTGTGTGTGTGTGTGTGTGTTCTGAGTGTCCCTGATCCCACCACAGCTCCTGGCTCACAGTAGGTGCTCAATACCTGTTGGATGACAAGTCAGCACTGGCCAAGGTTGTGTTCCCACACAGAAGGGTGCTGCTGCAGGTGTCTCCGCCACCCAGCCCTGGCCCGCATCATTGACCTGGTGCCCTGGGAGGATGGCTCCACCCACGTGTACACGTCCCCGGCCATCCTACTGCCCATGCCCCGGAGGCGCAACCAGCTGGCCGGCGTGAAGCAGCAGCTCTACCACCCAGCCCTGCCCAGTCTGCGCTCCATGGACATGGACTCTGTCAAGGCCTGCCTTTCCGACGAGCACTGCCAGTCCACCACCTACTGCCACAAAGGTTGGGCCACCTGGTTGCTGTTGGTGGTCCCTCAGAGCCTTAGGGGAAGGCGCGGATGGTTTGGAGGAGAGAGATCTCAGAGGGAGAAGGCAGGAGTAGCCAATGAAAGGGTTAGGGGGACTAGTCCCAGCTCTGCTCCTCCTTGCCTGAGAATCCTCCGGGTCTGAGCCTCTGCTTCCCTTATCAGTAAAATGGGAATGCTAACAGGGTGGCCTCTCAGGGCTATTGGGAGATTGTTGTTGCTCAGTCGATAAGTCAGGAATGACTCTTTACAACCCCATGGGGGTCCTCCACTACCTCCTGGAGTTTGTTCAAATTTTTGTTCATTGAGTTGGTGATGCTATCTAACCATCTCATCATCGGCTACCCCTTCTCCTTTGCCTTCAGTCTTTCTCAGCATCAGGATGTTTTCCAGTGAGTGATGTCTTCATATCAGGTGGCCAAAGTATTGGAGCTTCAACTTCAGCATCAGTCCTTCCAATGAATATTCAGTACTGATTTCCTTTAGAATCAGCTGGTTTGAGATTAACTTTGTGAGATTAAAGTGATATAAGGCATGAGAAGCCGTTAGAGTAGTGCCTGGCACATACTATGTGCTCAACAGTAATGTTATTGCTATTATTCATGGAGAGAGAACTGCAGAGGTCAGCAGTGCAGGAAGAGGAAGAATAATAACAGCAGTAATAATTTCTGCCCAGTCATCTCTCTCTTTGAAAAAGAAAGAGAAAGATACCTGTCATGAAAGAGAGGGGAACATGGAAGCCTCTGGGGTTAAGGACTACCCGGGGCTAAGGAAGAACTCTTCACTGGCTGAGACGCTTGGGCATTGAGGTAGGGGTGGCACGCAGATGCCCACATGCAGGCATTTCAACACATTTATTCATTGCCCGCTTTGTACTTGAGTCTGTACTTGAGTATGTACGTTGGACAAAGGCCTTCTAGCTAGAGGGAGCAGCACATACAGAGGCCTGGAGGGGAAAAGCTGCTCAAGGTGTTGGCGAACTTGAGGGATTTGGTTGGGCCCAAGGACAAAGTACGTGGGGGCAGCAGGAGCTGTGGCTGGTGGTGGGGACGCAGCTCAGGGAGGGCCCTGTCATTGAGCTCAGCAATCTGGACTTTCTTGGGAGGTAGATAAGAACCCCTGAAGACTTTAAGCAGGAAAGAGGTCTGAGCACTGGGGTGTCAGGGAGTGGGTGACCGAGAAGGACAAGAAGTGGATAATGGGGGAGAGGTTAGTGGTTAGGACACTGGGAGGGACCACAGCCTTCAGGAGGTAGTGACAGTGTCTTGGCCATGGGGGAGGGATTTGGAAGGTATTTAGGAGATAAAGGAGTAGGACTTGGTACCAGTGTGAGTAGAGGGGCAAGAGTGGGGAGTCCAGGGTGACACCCAGGTTCAGGCTGGATGGAGTGAGCCTGTCAGAGATGATAAGGGGATCTCCAGAGGTCCCACAGAGACCCCTGCAGGGCCAAGAGGGAAAACACAAATATGGGAAGTGGGTAAGGAAGCACTGGGGGGTGGGGTGAAAGTGAGAAGGAGCCCCCTCACCCGCCCCTATATAAAGGGGGGCAGCTATAGGGTCCCCCTTGACTGCTGTGTGGGAAGGGTCAGCACAGTTCTACCAATCTCCTAGCTCCCAGGAGAAGCCAGGAATCTAGATTTATAGGGAGAGCTCTTGATTTAGATATGCATTTTATTGCAAGTAAGTTTTAATCAAAGCAATGGAGCCACAGGTTCAAAATGTTGTAACAATGCACTTTTAGAAAATTCTTGCTCTTCCTCATTCCACTCATTCTCACTTATGGGTAACCACTCTGAGTTCCTGATGTATCCTTTCATTCTTTACTATGGCAAATACAAATCTGTTCTTTTCCTCTCCAACTTTTTTTTATTACAAACACATTCAAACATAGAGGAAAGTTGAAAGACTAATATTTTGAACATTTATTACCTTCTACCTGCTTCAATTAATGTTTTGCCATTTTATTTTCACTCTCTCTCTCTCACACAGACACACACACTCACACACACTTTAGCAATCAGTTTCCAGTGATAAAAACAACTTCCTACATGACTCCCTACTATTATCACATTTAGGAAAGTTAAAGATAATTCCCTAACATCCAATATTCAGTCCATATTAAAATGTCCCCAATTATCCCCAAAGATGTCTTTCATAATTGTTAAAAAAATTTTTGGAACCAGGATTTGATCTAGGATTGTGCCTTGTAATTGGTTTTCATGTCTCTTGGGCCTTAGTCTAAAACCAATCTATCCACTTTCCATTTTTCCCTCATCATATCGACTTCTTAAGAAATCCAAAACAATTGTGTTGTAGACAAGTCTTACATCGTGAATTTGAGTACTTCTTTCCTTATAGTGTTGTTTACCTTGATAGTCTAGTTTCTGTAAACCAGGAATTAGGTGTAGAGGCTTGATTGTAAAAGTTTTCACAAGTTTTGAATGCCATATTCACCATGAGAGCTCGGCAGGGGGCACCTAACATCAAATAGCACTATTAGTGATGCTGTTTGATGACGTGGTTAGGTGATGACCTAAATGTATATTCTTGTTTGCCTCCAATCGTCTCAATTTTAGTCTTTAAAGACAAAGGTAGCACATGGCATATACTCTTCTGTACCTTGGAAGTTCTTGAATCAAGAACTTTATTTTTAATCAAGGCATAGTGAGGATCCATCATGGTTTATTTAGCCAGTCCATTAATGACAGACACTTGGGTTTTTTTCCAGTCATTTTCTATTACAAACAACGCTGAAATGAGTAAACTTCATACCCACGTCATTTCCCAGTTGTGCAAAATATAAAATAGGATAAATTCCCAGAAGTAGGAGTATAGGGTCAAAAGATATGCTTATTTATAGTTCTGATAGATAATGCCAATTTCTCTCCATAGGTGCAAATTAATTTATTATCCCCTCTGGCAATGTACAGCAATGACCCTGTTTCTGATAACTGCACTAACTCCTCTCCCTTTCTCTCTCTCGTTCAGATGACTTTGATAATGCCTACTTCACACTTCTCGGTGTTCCCAACAAACCCCTGCAGTGCTTGGTGAGCGTCCTTTGTCCCTGGTTTGCCCTGGAGAGAGGACCTGAATGTCCTTTGTGCACCCAGCACCAAGCACCTCCGGTCCCGATCTCCATTCCGCTCACTTCCTCAGCTACCTCTTTGGGACCCTACTCCGCCCTTCCCATCTCTTTCAGGGGCTTCGGGAGGCCCCTGGGTCAGATGGTTCGAGTGCGCCCCGCTCCCTGACTTCCTTCCTCCTGGCAGGACATCACGGAGACCGGCCAGAGGCTCCGAAACAGGTACCACGAGGGAAAGCTGGCTCCCATCGCACCGGGCATCAACAGGGTCGACTGGCCCTGCTTCACGCGCGCCATCGAGGACTGGTCCCGATTCGTGTCCTCCGCGGGAGAGTTCAAGCTGCCCTGCGCGAGCAAGAAGGGTCAGTCTAACCGCGCGGAGGATGCCCTAGGGCGGGAGAGACAACTGAGCCCCTGGGTCCATAGAGCTGGGACCTCGGGCGCTGACCAAGGAAGAGTTAGAGGGCTTCCGGGGTGGAATCTGACAAAGACAGGGGAACCGGAGAAGCCGCGGCACTCAGAGGGTGCTGCGCGCGGACTGGTTGAGGCGCTCGGAGGCGGGGCTTATATGGGGAGGGGGGCGGGGCCAGGTCCGAGCAGTGGGAACCAATGGGGTGGAGGTGGAGGGCAGGCGGAATAAAGTCCGGAGGTGGGACTGGTTCCTCGAGCAGGCGTGGGGCGTGGCTTGGCCTAGGGGCGGGGATCAGGTAAGATCCCGGGTGCCGGCTTGCTCAGGGCGGGTGTGGGGCCGGAGACCAACTGTCTTTTCGCAGTTGAGAGCTTCAGCGGCTATGCGGTGCGGTACTTGAAGCCGGAGGTGACCCAGAACTGGCGGGTAGGAAGGGCTGCTCGCCGACCGGTCCCTGGGCACGTCGGGGTGGAGGAGGAGCTGCTAACACAGGGGTCGGGGAGTGGGAGAAGAGACCCGGACCTGGGGTCTCCGAGAGCCCGGAAGGCCAAGATCTCCGGCAGTCAGCGCTGTGTGGGGCGTTGGCGAGGGGCAAGGCCCGTGTCCCCCCTCCTCAGTAGACACCCCCGTCCCTCTGGCCCTCCCCAGTTCTGTCTTAACCAGAATCCCAGCCTGGACCGCTATGGACAGAAGCCCCTGCCTTTCGACTCCTTGTAAGTTACCCCCCACAGACCCCGGGGGACCCCATACCTGAGAAGGAGGCTGGGGTCTTGGCAGCTTTCACTAGCACATACCAAGTGGCCCTTGAAAATGTGAGGCCTCGAAAGCATCGATTGGCTCCAAAACACCATAAGAAAATTGCCATTTCAAAATGAGTAAATGTTTAATTCCTACCAAACGGAGCATCCTGTCCTCCAGTCCCTTTCAGAGTGGAGGCGTTGGGTGCGGTGAAGGTGCAGTGTAGTCCTGGTGGGATGGCACCTCCCGACGTGGCGGTTCCCAGAGAGGGTCACTCTTCTCCGCCTCGGACTCACCCTCCTCTATTTCAGGAATGCTTTCCGACGTTTCGGCTCCAACTACAGGTAAGGCCCCAACTGCAGGAGGCGGGGAATGACCCCGCCCCGACCCCGCCCCATCTGGCCGCGCCTCCGGTGGGATCGCGCTTGGCGCCCTCAGCGCTCAGGCGATGCTAAGATCCCTCACCACTCGCAGAGCCTCATGAGGGAGGTGCCGGGGTATTGGTAGCCTCCTGGGTGATGTCCGGAGGATTCGAAGGGCTTCCCCCTGGAGAGATCCTCTCCAGGCAAAAGTGCAGCCTATTGGGAGGTGGAGGGAGCAGTCATTGTTGTTCAGTCCCTCAGTCGTGTCCGACTCTTTGCGACGACCCCATAGACTGCAGCACGCCAGGTTTCCCTGTCCTTCACCATCTGCCGGAGTTTGCTCAAACTCATGTCCACTCGATTTGACCCAGTCAGGACAAAAGACAAAGATGGGGAGTAGGGGGGTGGGGGTTTACCTGGACAAAGAGCAGGGACAGAAAGAGTTAAGAGATGTATAAGAAATATCATGAAAAGAGCCAAGAATCTGCCTTCCAGGAGGCAGGCAAGGTGGTAAGGACTGGGACTAGTGTTCCCAATAGGAGGATGCAAGATACTCAAGCACCTTCATAACTTGGCTGTCACCCACCTCTCCAGTCCTATTCCCTACACTTCAGCAGTACCAGACTCCTGGGGGCAACCCAAATCACCCACACAACTGAGCACTCCACATCTTTGCTTGTGCTGTTTCAGTGCCTAGATTATCCTTCCATCTCTGCTTGGAAAACTCCTCCTTACTCTTTAAAGCCCAACCCAGATGTCCCATCCTTCTTGACGTCTTCTCTGACCTTCTGCTCCTCCCCTCCAAATCAAACCACCCCCCTCCAGAGCGTCACCTCATGTGCATCCCTCTCTATTTTGGAGCATGCAGACTATTGCATTATACTTCCATATTGATGAAAGTTTGCCTTCTCTCATCTACCCTTGCACATACAAGGGAATGCTATCTGTTTTTATCCTACTATATAATGCCTGCCTGAGTAGGTTCACTAAATGATTGAAAAATGAGTCAGACTCACAGGAGGTAAGGATAAGGCAAATTGGAAGTGGGGCCTGAAAATCAAAGGGACCAGCCAACAATATATGAAAGGAAATCAGGAGCCAGGGAAGGTTCTTGAGCCATAAGAGACAGGATAGAAGCTGTGTTTTCAGAACCTTGAAGGCAGGGAGGTGGGTTTTGTGGGGAATACCTAGAGAAGGACAACCCGATTTTTTCCCCAGGACACTCTAGAGGCCCCCATCTCACCCCTGTTTCTTTCCACAGTCGTGCCAACTATCTGACCCCCTGGCGTTAATGTGTGAAAAGGAGGCTGACACCCAGGCTGCCTAACTGTGCCACTCACATTCCCCAGTAGGACAAGGGTATATGGAGGCCATACCCATCTCCCTAAGTAGAAATAAACCTTATACTCCACAGGGAGGCACTCAACCTCTGTGTGTGTGTGTGTGTGTGTGTGTGTGTTGCAAAGGCTAGGGGAGGATCAGAACCTCAGGATGATGATATTTTACCCTAACCTGCCTTCTGCCAGCTCCTGGAGGACTGATGGGGTCTAGGAAAGATGTATCTTGTGACCCCAAGCGAGAGTCAGGGTCTAAGCCTCAAGCCCCAGCTGGGAATGAGGTGCAAACACAGGCTGGGAATTAGGTTCTATCTGTGCCCCTGTCCACTGCTTGTAGGCCTGCAGGCAAGCCCCTTCCACCTCAGATTCTGAATTTGAGTCAAAAAGAGAAAAGAGAGGGTGCAAAAGGGACTTAAGACCCCTCTCTCAGAAGCCCTTGCCATACCAATATAAGCTGGGGGGCTTCCCTGGGCCTGGGTCCCCTTGAAGAAGTGGAATCAGGCCCTGGAGGTTTGGCCGAGAGCCCCGATTCATGGTGAAGCAGCACAGTGTAGAAGTAAGGTGAGGTGCCTGAGGCCACTCAGAGAAGGTTTCCTCTGCCCAGAGCATTGCCAATGAATATACCGCAGAAAGAAGAAGTTATCTGCTTTGTCCACAAAGCTTCAGGACTAGTTCTGATTGCCTACCAACCTACAGAAAGGAGGTCTGATGCCCTGCACACAGCCATGGGTTTTCCTGGGCCAAGTCCAGAATAACCCTGCTCAAAGGGTGTGTCAAAGAAGAGTGTCTCAGCGTGGCTGGGGTTAGAGCAGCCAGCCTCGGCACTTAGCTCCAGGATCTTCCAAACACCATCCCACCTGTGGCCAGTCTGCAATGACAGACCCAAATCAGGGTCAGTAGCCACCAAGCTCACGAGGTATTTGAACAGGACTTCTTACACTATGATCTGGGACTTCAGGGATCCACGAACCTTCCAAAGTCATGTGCAAAGCCATGGGTCCACTCACGTGCTTTTTCCATGAAAAATCTCCTTGTTTTCACTTGATTCTCAGGAGAGTCAGTGCCCACAGAGGTTAGGAAACCCTGACTTACATCCTCCTCATCACCTGCAGGTTTAAAAATCCCCAGAGATGAAGAGAGGCCACTGAGCCTGAGCCATTGTCTCTGCGCCCTCAAGTCCCCTCAGTCCCCGGGGCTCTTTGCTCCTCATAAAGAGATTACTTTAGAAATTCTCCCTGTGGCCATTGCCTTGGGGACAAGCTTCCATGGCCTCACCTCTAGGCCTTCCTGGCCTGATCCCAAGCCACAACCCAGGCCCTGGGCCTCAACGCACTACCCCAGCCCAAACCCCATCACCAGTCTCCTTGCTGTTCCAAACACTCAGGCTCCTGCCTGCCTCCTAACCCTTGGTCAAAGCCTTCCTCCCACATGAAATGCTTTTGCCATCTCTTCCTACCCAAATCTTATCCTTTCTTCCAGGCAGTCCTCTCCCCAGTCTTCCCTTCCTCCCCAGTTCTTCTCCAAGATTATGAGGACAGGAATCGTAGCCTCTGGCCCACAGTAGGCTCTTGGGAAATACTGTATTTGCTGGCCCCTCATGTGTCCAGTAGGATCTGGGACTTAGGAAGGGGGCCTTGGGCCTCCAAGAACCAACATAAAACCTGGATGAAATGAAACAACTCCTACAAAGTAATAATTGTGTTTATTACATAGTAACACCTGGGCCTGGCAATAGGGAGGATTGGGGATGGAGGAAGGGTCCTAGCTGAGGGAGGGTGGTGGGAGGGTTGGGGAAGACTCTTGCACGTAGTATTTTGTACTGTATTGCAGCAGCTTTGACATTTTTGACCCTATCTTTTGATATACATGAAAACCTCAAAACTTTCTCATCCCAAGTCCTACCTTCATGCCCAGTTGCACCAGCTTGGGGTCTGGCAAACAGCAGGTGCTCGGTGCTGCTTACAGATGAACAAAGGCAGGAATGCAGACCCAGAATGGGGATGGACATGCACGCAGAGTGAAGAGGGAGATCCCACAAGCCCTGGCCCACCCCCACCCCTCCCCTCGACCTCCTTTTCAAGGCCCTGTGAGGACGACTGGGCATTCCTGCCAGAATCTTTGTAGATCTACGAAAATCAACAGCAGCCAAGGCTTTTCCTAGAGGCATAACCATCAAGGAACAAAGAATGCACCGGCTTGAGGATGGGATGCGGAGCTCATCACAGGCGAGTCTGGCCCAGGCAGGGAGGCCCTGGGCAACTCTCCAAGGTCTGAGCAGTTTGTGGTCCTCGTCTGGGGCCTGCTCTGGAGAAGGGATGAAGTTGGAGGCTGGAAGGTCAGGTGAAGGCTCTATGGAGCTGCCTCTGCACAGATGGGAAGATGCGGAACGGTGGCTCCAATCCCTCAAGGAGTTGAGAGCACGCCACGCCCCCCACCCCCACTGCTGGTGAAGAGCTCTCCTGCTCCCCTGGCCAGCCCAGGTGCCAGCACCAGTCCTGGCCATTGCTCCCAGCTTCCTGGCCAGCAAAGAGTAGGTTGGAACCAGCACGCCAGGCTCCAGTGGCTGGAGGTGGAGGCCTGTGAGGTTCAGAGCCTAGGACAGTCCCGCCCCACTGCCTCTCCCCGACCTGGCCCACCTGGCCCGCCCCCACAATTCCAGGCCTCTGTCATCACAAACTGTCTGGCTTTGGGAAGCCTCTGGACTTCTCAAGGGTCAGCACAAAGCAGATCTTCAGGTCTGCCCGGCCCGTCTCATGGAGATGGTATGAGGCTCCAACCAACAGGTAGATAGGAAAGGGATGGGGGGACGGGGGCGGTAAAGACAACCCTGACTCTCGGATAGGAGAGCGGGGCTGGCTGCCTTCTGCCTTGGGCGTCCCAGTCCTCTGCTTTCCTGAGTGACTGCTACATGTTCAACACGCCACGTGGTCATTTCACAGGACCCTCATCCTAAGCCCAGAAGAGAACGTTACTGGCTCCATTTCACAGATGAGGAAAATAAGGCCCGGAAAGATTCAAAAACCTTCCCAAAGCTTTGGTGCTTATGAGCGGCAGAGGCAGGACTCCAGCCAGGCCTGACTGTGGTGCTCTTAACCACGAGAGCACAGCAGGGCCGCCACGGTTCATGGGCACAGGCTCCACTCCGGGACAGCGGGCTCCTCTCCCACTGCCCCGCTGTGGGGCTGAGCCCAGAGCCGGCCACACACAGTCAGCAAGATGGTGGGCTCCCTGGGAGAGTTGTCTCTGGTGATCCAGCCTGCCATGGCATTGACTTTGAGGACCCAAGAGAATATACACCCACCCAAGCCATGCAGGAGGTATTATTAACTCCAAAATGTGAAACTTATGTTAGTGTTTCTCTTTTTTTTTTTTTGGCTGAGCTATAAAGCATGCAGGATCCTCGACCAGAGATCAAACGCACGACCCCTGCAGCCAGTGGAAGCGCAACAAACTACTGGACTGCCAGGAAGTCCCTATGTTAGCCTCTCCCTCTTAGTCCTCTGGCTCTCATCCAGATGTCACCCCTCACCTCAAGGGACCACCCTCTCCCTATGCTGTCAGTGATTGGGGCAGAGAAAATGATAAGCCAGAGACTAGATAAGATAGTGCCTGGGACTTCCCTGGTGGTTCAGTGGCTGAGACTCTGCACTCCCAGTGCAGGGGTTCCGGGAAAGGGGGCCACAGGTTGATCCCGTCACCTTCCCAGATTCAGGTCTCTTAGGAGCCTCAGAGATGAGAGTCAACACTTCTGCTTCAGATGGAACAGAGATCCTGAGAGAAGCAGAACCTGCCTGGGACCACCTGCTATCAGAGGTCTAAGACCTGAACCCCCAGGCCAGGTCTCCATTTACTGCCCTGGGTTTGGCCCAGGTTGGAGTTCAGAGGCTGAGGGCCAGCTGGGAGCCCCACTGCTTCGTGAGAGATGGAGTGGGGAAAGAAGAAAGAAAAAGTCATTACAGCCTCTATGTGAGATCTGCCAGGGCTGCTCCTGCCCCTGGCATACGAGAATCACCGTCTGTCCAGGAAGGGCAACCTGAAGCTATAAAGCACCAAACACATGCCAGTGCTTCCTAGGAGTTCCTGCAAGGTGGGTGGGCTTTGCTTAAGGTCACTCAGCTAGAAAGGAAGCCAAGATTCAAGCCTGGAAGACACACAAGGGGCCCTGGGCATCATTGCTGAGAGGCAATGAGAGGAAGGAACCACCCAACTTCTCAAGGGCAGGTCCCCCATGGCCACACACGGAGAGAAGCATGGTGTCCTGGTCACATCTGGGGTCCTCCAGCCTCCCCACTAAGCCTTCTGCAGCATTTTGAGTCCCCTGCAGTGAGGGCAACTTCTGGTCCTCTTTCTATCTTCACCTCCACCCCACCTTCAGGGCAGGGATCCCTGCTGACCACACTCCACTAGCTCTCAGACTCCAGGCAGAAGTAGTTGCTTCTCCCTTCCTCTCCCCACCTCCACCCTTGCCTGTGAGAAGCAGAAGGAGCCCAGGTTGCAGTTGGCTCCCTGGGGGACAGGGATGGGGGCAGAGAGGGTTCAGGTAGGCTGAGGAGGTGGCTGGGTTGGACATGCAAAGGGATCAGCCTGTGACAGGGTGAGTGGAAATGAGGCCAGAACGGGCCATCCTTGGGGGCGGGGCCCACAGGCTGCTCCAGGAAGGCCATGGCTTTCCACTGGAGCCAAGGAAGCTCTCCTGCTTACCAGGCTCAGGCCCCAGCTTCTGACCATCCATGACCTGCTGGTCCCTCAGTCCAGCTCCCTCTACAGCAGCTGCAGCAAAACCCCAAAGAGGTCAAGAGGTTGCAGCCTGAGGGTTCCAAGCGTCCTGTGGTTGGCACCGTCAGCATCGTCACAGCTTCTCCCCTGGGGAAGCTCCATATGCAACCCCACTTAACTCTTACAAGAACCAAACAAGGGTTAACCTCCCAATTTTATAGACGAGGCAACTGAGGGCTTGCCCAAAGTCACATGACCAGAGTGTTCCAGACTCTGGATTGGAACCAGCCTTAGATCCCAGTCCCCAGCCTGGCCCTCCCAGCCTGCACACCACCCCCTCCCCACAGCCCAACATCCCTCTGTGGAAGAATGACCAGAAGAAGCTGTGCTTTGGTCTGTGAAGGTCAATGTCTTTACTTCTAAAGCATACATTGGACTCACTATATATTAACATCAAAAGGCGCTATCTAAAATGGAGTTGTTCTTTTTAAAAACTCAAATCCTCACATTTTTAGATAAGATCCAAAATGACATGAAATTAAACTATACAATGTTATGAACAGTATAACAACTGCTTTCAGAAAGCAAAATGAAAGAAAAGAAAAAGAAAATGAGCACTTGGGACTGTTGGCAGCCTGGGTTCCATGTCTTTTGAGGCATGTGACTAAAGCCAGCACCGAGGGGAAGGACTGCCCCTCTCTGCAGGCACCGGAAGGGAGACCAGGAGCGGGAGGTGGACGTGGGCTTCTCAGATTTCTGAAGGTGACAGTGGGACAAGGCGGGTCTCCCTGCTCCTCTGGGATTTGGGGGTGGGCACTGATTAAAGTCTCCTTTTAAGACCCACAACCTGGGAAGGGGGTAGGGAGAGGGCAGGGGCAGAGCTGGGTTCAGAAGAATCATTTTGACAGTAAAGATCTTCTGGCCTTCTTGAGAAGAGCCCCAGCCATCAAGTGGTAACAGCTGACTCCATCCACCTGCTGGTTTCCTTAACAACCCTCCCCCTGCCCACTCCCTAACCGGGACACCCAAGGCTCCATGAGCCCTGTGGGTAGCGGAGACCTAGGGGGACCCTAAAAGGACCTGAGGGAGAGCACTCTGGTCTTGGAAATAGCTGGATGCTGTCCAGAGCATCTTGGCGGCACAAGACCCCTGTAGTACAGGCCAGCAGCCAGGCCGATGGGGGAGGGGGCCCCGGGGCTGGGAGGGTGCTGTGGGGTCAGAGGCATGCCCACGATCCCTCCACCTCCCCTACCCCGGGTACCCAGGCATGGTCTTGGCCCTGAAGCAGGGCTGGGGTGAGCTGATTAGGGCCACGCCCTTGAGGCTTTGGTTCACACGACTTGATTCGAGTGAGCGAGTGACACTTGTTCCCATCCACTGGGAAGATGAAGGGCTTGGCCCTTCCACCTCCCGGGCACCAGGGGGGTCTAACAATCCCCTTTTTTCACATCAGCAGTTCTGTCTGGCTGAGGGCACATTCCCCACCTGCGCTTGGAACTCTGCCGCAAAGGTGGGAGGGGCGTTTCCAAAACGCTGGGATGAGCCCTCATTGCAAAGGCTGCCTTTCCTCCTTTCCCCAGGGACAGCGCTGTCCCCGGCTGAGCGCGTCAAGGAAGAACTTCTCTGCCTCCCCCTTCCGGCTGGGCCAATCGCTCTCCAAGCAGACCCGGCCCACAGCTGTGCAGCACTGCTGTGTGTCTCGCCTGTCAGAACCCTGGAGGGTGCGCTGCCCCTAGCTGAAGTTGACAGAGGGGCCTGAGGCTCACAGGTTGCCCTCCTGGAGTTAGCCTTCCCCCTCAAACAGCAACCTGAAGGGGGCCACCCTGTGCCCAGGCCCTCCCGTGACCCTCCTCTTTCCTAACCTATCTGCTTTCTCTAGGGAGGCTGAAAGGTTTGGGAAGGTTGGGCTAGCACCACCCCCTCCTTGGGGTGGAGAGAGGCCAGTTCGACTTCCAGCCTGGTTCCATTGAGAAAAGGGAGGCTGAGGTCTCTCAAGAGAGCGAATCCTGTAAGGGGAAAGAGGTTTGCAGGATCAAGACCAGCCACGGCCATCTGCCCCCCACCCCCACCTCCTCCAGGCCGGTACCAGGGGTGCCAGGCACCCACACCCTCCACCTGCCCGGGTGCCCTTTCATCCTCACGCCCAGGGCCAGGTCCGGGGATGGGCGCGAGGGGGCCGGGCCGGGGCCGCAGCTGGGGCTCAGGGCAGGCAGGCGGCTACCTGGTAGGCGCCCTCGGCCGCCGCGGCCGCGGCACTGTGCTGCGCGCTGTGCTCCTGTAGCAGGGCCACGTCCAGGAAGCGCTCGCCGCACCACACACACTTGAACTGCTGCTCGCGGGCGTGCACGCCCTGGTGCTTGTTGAGGTGCTCGCGCTGCTTGAAGGCCTTGTCGCAGTTGGGACACTTGTAGGGCTTCTCGCCCGTGTGCACCCTCCGGTGCCGCTGCAGGTCGGAGGCGTACTTGAAGCGCTTGTCGCAGTCCGGGCACTTGAGCGGCTTCTCGCGGGCCGGGTCGCAGCGGTGCTGCACGAACTCGGAGGACGAGAAGAAGCGGCGCTCGCACAGCGTGCAGCGCAGGGGCTTCTCGGCCGCCGAGCAGTGGGCCAGCTGGTGCTTCTGCAGGGCCGAGGCCCGCTTGTAGGCCTTGTGGCACACCGGACACTTGAAGGGCCGCTCGGCCGCACCCGGCAGGCACTTGTGCCGCAGCAGCTCGGCCGACTGGTCGAAGCCCTTCTGGCACACGGGGCACTTGAAGAGGGTCTCGAGGGTGTGCACGTGCTGGTGGTAGAGCAGGTGGCTGGGCTGCCCAAAGCCCTTCTCACACAGGCCGCACTTGAAGGGCTCCTCGGCCTTGTGCGTGCGCCGGTGCCGCATGAGCGCGTACTGCTGCTTGAAGCCCATGGGGCACAGGTCGCACTTGAAGGGCCGCTCGGCGCTGTGCGTGCGCTCGTGCTGCCGCAGGTCCGACGGCCGCTTGAAGGCCTTCTGGCACTCGCCGCAGCGGAAGGGCCGCTCCCCGCTGGGCGTGCATGGGTGCTGCAGCAGCTCCGACGACTCCTTGAAGTGCAGCTCGCACACGTTGCAGCGGAACAGGTGGTGCTCGCCCGAATGCGCGTACATGTGGCGCACGAGGTGCGAGCGGTGCTTGAAGGTCTTCTCGCACACCGCGCACTTGTATGGCCGCTCCGAGCTGTGCGTGCGCTTGTGGTGCACCAGGTGCGAAGACTGGCTGAAGCTCTTGTCGCACAGCGTGCACTTGTAGGGCTTCTCGCCCGTGTGGATGCGCTCGTGCCGCGAGAGCTCCGACAGGTGCTTGAAGGGCTTCTGGCAGATGGGGCAGCTGTAGGGCTTGTCGGCCGACTCCGCTGGGGCCACTGCGGGCGGAGGCGGGGGTGCCGGGGGCAGGGAGGGGGCGGCGGTGGCCTCGGGCTCTGCCGCCTCAGCGGGCTTGTAGGTCTTCTCGCAGATGGAACATTTCACAAGGCCCCCGGTGCTGCTGTGGGCATTGTGGTGCTGCGCCAGCGATGTGAGCAGCGAGAAGCCCATCTTGCAGACACCGCAGACGAAAGGTTTCTGCTCGGCCTGCACGCACTGGTGCTCCAGCAGGTCGGTAGCCTGGTGGAAGATTTTAAGACACTGCGTGCACTGGAACGAGCGGTCATGGCCCGCCAGACACTGGTGCTCATGTGGGCTGGACAGGTGCGCCAGGTCGTGACCGCACACGCCACACTTGGGGCCCGGCTCCCCCGCGGCCTGCAAGGGCACGTGCTGCGGGGGCTGCAGGCCCGGCTCAGGCTGCAGGAGGATGCCATAGACCGCGCAGCCCAGGGGGTTCTCAGCCGTGCCTGGAGGCAGCGTGTGCTCTGCCAGGGCCGGTGGGGGTTCAGCATGGTGCTGCGGCTGTGGGGGCTGAGGCTGCTGCGGCTGCGTCTGCGGCGGCTGCTGCCAGCTCTCCGACATGCTTGGGAAGATGAAACAGGGTTTGGAGAGTAATGGCTTCAGTTTCCCTGCTTAAGGTGACCCACACCAGAGAGAGAAGCTGCCCAGGATCAGGGATGGATGAGGACCTCGGACAAGGCACGGAGCAGGACTGGTCAGGCAGTCCAAGTCATTCACCAAGACAGACTACAAGGCTGTGCCTACAGGACGGGGGTCTTCGGGCAGGGTGCCAGGAGTGGCAGGGAGGCTCTGCAGAGAAGAAAGAAATCGTGAGCTTGAGGCAGGGACACACAGCTGTTCCCGGGGCCTCTCCCTGATCTGCCTGCACTTGCCACACTGACATAAAACACATCAGGGAAGTGAAGGGGGCTCCGGACTGGGAGATCTTCACTTGCTGGCAGCGCAAGTGCTCCAGTAAAGGGGATGGTGGCTGTCTCCAGGCCCACCCATCCTCAGTTCCCCATCCCTTAGCCAGGCATCCCAATCTCCCAGCTTACTGCCAACCCGCTTCCATTAGCTGTCTCACAAGTGAGTCTGGGGTGATCTGCCCACAATACAAAGAAGTCACAAGTTCTGTTCATGCTCCCAGGAAAGAAGGAGGGGAAGACTGACCGGTGAGGGCCTTGGTGCACAAAACAAGAATTTTAGTAACATAACCTTTTTCTATGTGTGTGCAAAACACTTCTTATTTGGAAGCCTAATACGGAAGATAGATAAAAGCAGAGAGGCTCTGGTTGAGGCCTCCCTGTAGACCTGCCAGCTCCTCTCCTGTCGCTGCCCTGAATTTCAACCCAGGACACAACTGCTCATAAGAACAGACTGTAGATCTAAAAGGCCAGACCTCCCAGATCTGAAGGCCCCTCAGTCAATCAATATTTAAAACACCTGCATGGAATGGAGGCCCATCTCAGAAAACTTCTCCTGTGAGGGGCTGACCCATACCTCTCTCAATTGTCTCCAGGTCCTCCCCCCTGACTGTGTGCCTGTTCTCTCTTCACACAATAAGAGGAATGGTTTTGCAGGGACCTGAGCCAATGCCTGATGAGGATGAGACCCACAGACCCACACAGCCTTGATGGGTACTCGGCAGAAGTTCCCCAGGCTAGTCATCTCCCAGAGCACCAAAAAAAAAAAAAAAAAAAAAGCCTTAAACCCTCTTAATATGATAGTGTCAAGGCCTGCAGGAAATGTAAGCAATTTTGAGTTTGCCTCTGCAATGTGGGATGTAGCATGCTAACCATCCCTGTCACCTTTCCGGAGACAACACTGTTCCCTTGCTCCAAGTCTGTAACACTTTGGATAATCCATAGAAGGTAAAGACCACCCATCCCAGGCAAATCTCTAACTCACCACTTTGTGGCAGCATAAGGTAATGACAGCGAGAGGGAGGAACTTTTAGAATCAGATGCAACCCGCTTTCAGGTTCCCAGCTCCTCTGCTTCTAACACTGAAAAGTTTGTAAGTTTTCTCTGGATGAAAAGAGAAGGAAGGGGATGCCTTCACAAGCCAGCCTGGCCTCTAACTGTTCTGCCAAAGAAACATAAGAGTCAGGCTAAAAACTGTCAGCCTCAGCATCTTTCCGGGAAGGAAAGAAGTGAACAAGCCGCTGCTCTGAGTGGAGGCAGCAGGTTGCATGAGCCAGCAGGTACCGAAGCCTCCCCAGGAAAGAGGGAAGCAGGACTACTCTGAGCCAGGTCTAGGTCAGACTGCGCCAACCCAACTGTTGTTTTTTTTTTTTTTCCCCTGGCATGAATGGCTGCCAGACCCAGGGTCCCCAGTCCCGGGCCCCCAGGTCCGCTGCCCATTCCGGCCCCCCCTCCAGGAAGGTGCGGTCAGGAGGCCTCTCTGATGACCCGGCAAAGAGGATGAGAGACTAGGGTTAGGGAGGCAAGGGGAGGCCCCCACCTGCGCCCCACCCCAGCCCTTCCTCTTCCTTGGGAAACCAAATGAAAGCCGATCACCTCCCCGCCGGCACTGCCCGCCGGCCCAGCTGGGCTGCCTCCTGTCAGCCCTCTCCGGGAAATAGCCAGGACGCTGCGGCCCCGGCGCCGGACCCGCGGGCGAGTGGGCCCGAGAAAGGCCCCAGGGCTGCAGGCCGGGCCCGGGAGGTAGCTGCGTGTCGAGGTCGGCCTGGGCCGTCCAAGAGCTCAGGAGGCCGCCGGGTCGGGCGGGAGGTGGGGTTGGGGTGGGGGGGGACTGCCGGGCCGGCTGGGGAAGGGGTGCGGCGGGCGCGGGAGTGGCCCCCAGACGCGGCCCCGGGCGCCCCGCCGCTCACCTGCTCCGGGCCGCCCGCGGGGTCAGGCGCGGGGCGAGTGGCGACTGGCTGCTCTCTCAGCCGCCCCTTTATTCCGACTCCATCCGCGGCAGCGCGGCCTACGCGCGCTGCCAATCCCCGGCCTTGCGTAGCGGCGGCTGCCGGCCCGGGGGCGGGGAACGGGCTAGCGGCGGCCGGAACCGAGGAAGCGACGTGCGCGGCCGGGATAGCGGGGCCGGGGCGGAGGAGCGCTGGGAGGGCGGGCGGACGGAACGATGGCCTTGCAGAGACCGGCGGACAGGCGGGCGGCGCGGGGGCCAGGGAGGCGGGGCCGGGGGAGGAGCGGCAGCCCGGGCGGCGGCGGCTGCGGGAGGAGCGGGAGGCACGGAGCGAGGCCGCCCCCTGCCGGGGACCCCGCGGCCGGGCCGGGTCGGACAGCCGGACGCGCTGGGTGGCTCTCCGGTCGCTCGGCCGGCACGTCTCTGCTGACCTAGGAAGGGCGCTCTGCTTCGAACCACCCTACTCGGCCTTACGGGAGCGAGCTCCCAGGGTCCGGCCCACGGCCCGACCCCTGAGCCTGAGAGGAGAGCCCTCCCAGACCCTCTGATCTTCTGGAACGGACCCCGCCTGTGACTGTTCAGCTCGCTCTTAGGGGAGGAGGGCCCCCAGAGCTCGGACTTTGGGCGGGGCTTGAGGAAGGGGCCCCGGGACCTCTGACCCCCGTCCGGAAGGCTAGGGCAAGGATCTCCGCTGGGTCTAACGCTCTGACCTCTGACCCAGGGACCATCGGCTGCCGGGAGGTCCCGAGTTGCTGCAGACCGAGCAGCGGACAGAGAGGTCAGGACCCAGAGCGATCTCTGAAATGGGCACACGGAGGATGGCCGTGGCAGGAGGCTCCTAGGGAGCGGTCACAGCGAGGCCAGCAGGCATGCAGCGTGGTCTGGGTGGGTACAGTCTTTGCTCCCTTCCTGCCGGGCCCCGCCCCCGCACCCCGCCCCGAGGCGGTGCTAATTTGTGCCCCGCCCCCGGGAGAGCACTTCCGGCACAGAGGAATTCCGGGTGCGGTGAGATTGCTGACCCTCTGTGTGGTCGTGAAGGTGGGTGGGGGGGTGCTTCATGAGTGCGGTGCCCCTCGTGGGCTACAGCAGCAGCGGCTCGGAGGATGAGGCCGAGGCCGGGGCCCGGGTTCGGCCGGGGGCTGAAGGCCGCAGTCGGTGAGGAGCGATGAAGTCTTTCTGGGGAAGGGTGATTGGGGAGGGTCCGGGGCTGCTCGCGAGGGAAGGAAAAGGGGCACGGGGTGGAGGGGGGCGGGGGGGAGGATCCAAACCGAGCCCTGGTGTGCCCCTACCTGGCTGGGTCAAGGTTAGGAGGCAGGAAACGGGGTGGGTTTGGGTCCAGCCTCGGGCGCCGGCCCACTCTGTCTCCTGGCACGCACCACTGTACCACCGTAGGTCTGTTTCCCCATTTGGAAAGTGTTTTCTTTAATCTAATAAATATTCATGGAGTACTCTCTCCGCTCCAGGCTGGGAACTGGGTACTCAGCAGTGAGCAAAGTAGGAAGTCTCCTACTTTGTGGAGGAGCTTCGGTTCTTAATTGCCAGGCCTGGTACCTGCTGAGTGCTTTTCATGTAGCATGTTGGTTCATCTCACTTTATGGATGAGGAAACGGAGGTCCACAGAGAGCATATGACTTGCCTAAGACCACAGAGCTAGGAAGTGTCAGTCTGGCTCAGGCCTGTCCAGCTAGGCCTCCACATGTTGCCACCTGCTCCTTTGTTTCCCATGGGGACCACGTTCCTTCCAAAGTCTGCTTCCAGGAGCGTTGTGCACTCAGTCGTGTCCGATGCTTTGCAACCCCATGGACTGCACCCCAAGCAGCACCCCAGGCTTCCTTGTCCTTCACCATCTCCCCAAGCTTGCTCAAACTCATGTCCATTGAGTTGGTGATGCCATCCAACCAATTCATCCCCTTCTCCCACCCTTATTCTTTCCCAGCATCAGGGTCTTTTCCAGTGAATCAGCTCTTCACATCAGGTGGCCATAGTATTGGAACTTTAGCTTCAGCACTAGACCTTCCAATGAATATTCAGTTGATTTCCTTTAGGATTGATGGTTTGATCTTGCAGTCCGGGGGACTTTCAAGAGTCTTCTCCAGCACCACAGCTTGAAAGCATCAATTCTTCGGCACTCAGTCTTCTTTAATGTTCAACTCTCACATCTGTACATGACTACTGGAAAAAACATAACTTTGTTGGGAGACACGAATGAAAGAGTGTTGGGGAAAGAGCTTGTCGTTATCTAGAAGGTGCGCATAGTACCTGATGAGAAATAGACATGCAGAGTCACCCTGTACGTGGGGTTACAACTTTCCTCATGCGTACAGACATAGACAATGTAGGAAGCTAACTGGGCTTATTTTCTTTCCTCTTGCAGGCGCCAGAGCCCCCTTCCCAGCCAGAGGTTGCCAGTACCCGACAGTGTGCTGCACATGTTCCCTGGCACTGAGGAGGGGCCTATGGATGATAGTGCAAAACATGGGGGCCGGGTGCGCACATTTCCCCACGAGCGTGGCAACTGGGCCACCCATGTCTACGTACCTTGTAAGTAATGCCTGAGAGACATGTGGCTGACACCGACAGGTGCCTCTTATGGGAGGAGGCTGGCCCCAACCAGGAGGAAGCCAGAGACCTCAACCTCTGACACTGGTAGTGAGAAAAAGATAAACTCAACAGAGAGAGGACAAGTTTCAAGAACTAGGGAATCTTTCTGTTACACTTGATTTTAGTTTTGAATTCATTGCCTGAAATACTTTTTTTTATTAACCCTGTGTATACTGTTCTCCCTGCTTGTGGGGATGTGACCAAGGGAGGGTCTAGGACAGAGTGTCAAGGCCATCGCACAGTGCAACTGTAGCTGGTCCTTTGTTTCTAAGAGGGCTATAGGTGTGCTGGCTTCAAGTCCCACCCCACCCTAGCCCTAAAGAGTGAGTGGCAGGCATCAAAAGCCCAGGCTTCAGAATCTGACCTCACTCCATTACCCACTACTCTGGGTGCCCCTTAGTTAAGTTGTTAGAGTTCTCAGAGCCCCAGTTTCCTCATCTCTAAAATGGGGATGGTAGTAATACCTATATGGGGACAGTAAAATACCTCTAGGACTTCTGTGATGATTAAATGAGATAATCAGTGTCAAGTTCTTAGCACAATACACAGAGCACGTGGTGGCTCTTACTACTTTGTGTTAGATCAGGTAAACTCTTAGAACCTCCATTTCCCCATCCACAGAATGGGAATGATTCTCTATATTCCCTATCCCACAGGAAGTGAAGTGAAGTCGCTCAGTCATGTCTGACTCTTTGCAACCCTGTGGACTGTAGCCTACCAGGCTCCTCCATCCATGGGATTTTCCAAACCCACTAGAGTGGGTTGCCATTTCCTTCTGCAGGGGATCTCCCCAACCCAGGGATCAAACCCAGGTCTCCCACGTTGGAGGCAGACGCTTTACCGTCTGAGCCACTGGGGACGTCCTAAAGTGAAAGTTGCTCAGTTGTGGCACTTTCATTCCACAGGGCATCTGGGCAAATTGAGTAACTCATCAGGTGTGAGCAGATTATTAACCATGGAGCTCTAGTCATATATTTGGCTTAAAAAACAGATCTGTGAACATACAGTGGTGTCCTTCTTGTGTTCTTCATCTTTATAAACAATTAGGAACATTCTACATGTCTGTCAGGAGATTCTAGATGTCTATAAATGTCTGATTAAAGAAATGCACTGTTTCTAATCTAAGGATGGGTTACTGTGGAGCCATAATCATGAGCTTGCCTTCTGTAATGAGAGGAAGGCTGTCCAACATGTAGTGTTATATGGAGAAAGCTCGGGGAAGAACTGCATGCCCTCATCTTTTTTAAAAAATAAAATATATACATTGGCACAGCACTGAGAAAAGCTAGGGAAATAAGCATCATGTTTGACAGTCTTTGTCTCTAGAGTAGTGGTCTTGAAAGTGGGGTAGGTGCCCTGAGGGAGAGATCAAGGTGACCTCTTAGAAAGAAAAGCATTAAGACTTTTTAATGTATTTCTCTTTATCTCAACTTTTTAAGTTTCTGTTCTTCAGAGTGTACATTTTATAACATAATTTTGCAGTGGAACGCATGTTTGTAATTTATTAATAAATGCACATTTACTGTAGGTATGTGTGCAAGCTTGTTTGATTAATGGCACGTGTGATCACAGTGGCTTGGATACCCCTGCTTTAGATGTGGACTTAAAGGACCCCTGCTTTCTCTGTCACATATTTCTCTTTTTACTCAAATTCTTTTCAAAAAGCATATGTATGTATATGTATCAGTTCAGTTCAGTTCAGTTGCTCAGTCATGTCCACCTCTTTGCGACCCCATGGACTGCAGCATGCCAGACCTCCCTGTCCATCGCCAACTCCTGGAGCTTACTCAAACTCACGTCCATTGAGTCCATGATGCCATCCAACCATCTCATCCTCTTTTGACCCTTTCTCCTCCTGCCGTCAATCTCTGCCAGCATCAGGGTCTTTTCAAATGAGTCAGTTCTTTGCATCAGGTGGCCCAAGTATTGGAGTTTCAGCTTCAACATCAGTCCTTCCAATGAATATTCAGGGTTCATTTCCTTTAGGATGGATTGGTTGGATCTCCTTGCAGTCCAAGGGACTCTCAAGAGTCTTCTCCAACACCGTAGTTTAAAAGCATCAGTTCTTCGGCACTCAGCTTTCTTTATAGTCCAACTCTCACATCCATACATAACTACTGGAAAAACCATAGCTTTAACTAGACAGACCTTTGTTGGCAAAGTATTTCTCTGCTTTTTAATATGCTGTCTAGGTTGGTCATAACTTTTCTTCCAAGGAGCAAGCTATATGTGTATTCTATAAACATAAATACATATTAAAATATGATTAGAATACATAGACATTGGCTGGGCTTGCCAGGTGACTCAGTGGTAAAGAATCCACCTGCCAGTATACAAGACACAGGTTTGATCCCTGGGTCAGGAAGATCCCCTGGAGAAGGAAATGTCAACCCGCTCCAGTATTCTTGCCTGGAAAACTCCATGGACAGAGGACCCTGGTAGGCTACAGTCCATGGGCTCAAAAAGAGTCAGACGTGACTTAGCGACTAAACAACAACAAGATGTAGGCTGCTCTCAAAGTAACTTTCTCTTAAAACCTAGAGTTTAAGTTTAAAATCTAGCCTTTCTCTGCTCCTGGCCATCATGTGGCCATCCTGCTAAGAGAATGGCCCACCCTCTCCACTCTTCCCCTCCAGATGAAGCTGGGGAGGAGTTCCTGGACCTGCTTGACGCACTGCTGTGCCACGCGCAGACATATGTCCCCCGGCTGGTGAGGATGGAAGCCTTCCACCTCAGCCTGTCCCAGAGCGTGGTTCTGCGCCACCACTGGATCCTCCCCTTCGTGCAGGCTCTGAAAGACCGAGTGGCCTCCTTCCAGAGGTGAGTGTCCCATGCTTCTGTCTGCTTCCCCTCCAAGGCTCCTCTTCCCATCCCAAGTTCCCATGGGGAGGGACCTGTGGGATGGTGTTACCCCAGCAAGCAGGCCAGACCTAGAGGTTAGCGCACTGAGTATCTCCCAGAGCTATGCGCTGTTCACGTCATCCCATGTGACTTTGATGTATGAAACAGAACCCGTAAGATGTATATAGGTAAGAAGAGACTTATTACAGGTATTGGCTTATGCAGTTATGGAGGTCAAGAAGTCCACTATCTGCCATCTGCAAAGAGAGAACCAGGAGAGCTGGTCATGTAATTCAGTTTGACTCCAAAGTCCTAAAAAATCAGGGGACTGGTGATGTAAGTCCTGATACGAGCCTGAAGGCCTGAAAACCAGGAGTGCTGATGTCAGAGGGTAGGAGAAGATGGATGTCTCAACTCATGCAGGGAAGGGGAGTTTGTCCTCCCCTTTTCCTCTTCCAAGGGATCTTCCCAACCCAGGGATCAAACCCATGTCTCCTGCATTGGCAGGTGGATTCTTTTACCACTGAGCCACCTAGGAAGCCCATAAATTGAATACCAATTAACAATACTTAAATACTAAACTAAAGTCATTACATCTTATATTATGTGATAAGGGAGTAAGAGAAGAAAACAAAGATGTTTGCTTAATATACGTACAGGCAAATCTTGCTTTATTATGTTTCACCAATACAGCATTTTTTAACAAACCGAAGGTTTGTGGCAACCCTGCATTGAGCAAGTCTGTCAGCATCATGTTCCAACATTTGCTCTTATGTCTGTTATATTTTGGTAATTCTTGCAATATTTCAAACTTTCTCATTATCCTTATATTTGTTATAGTGATATTTGACATTACTATTGTAATTGTTTCGGGGTGCCAGGAGCCACACTCATGTAAGAGGGCAGACAACTGATAAATGTGAATGTTCTGACTGCTCCACCGACCAGCCATCCCCCACATCTCTGTCCCTCTCCTTGGGCCTCCCTATTTCCTGAGATACAACAGTGTTGAAATTAATAACCCTACGCTAGCCTCTTAAGTGTTCAAGTGAAAGGAAGGGTCACATGTCTCTTACTTTAAATCAAAAGCCAAAAATGATTAAGCCTAGTGAGGAAGGCATGTCAAAAGTGGAAGGAGACTGGAAGCTAGGCCTCTTGTCCCTGTTTGCCAAGTTGTGACTGCAAAGGGAAAGTTCTTGAAGAAAATCAAAAGTGCTCCTCCAGCAAATGCAGGAATGATAAAGCAAAAGAGCCTGGAGAAAGTGTTAGTGGTCTGGACAGATGATGAAACCGGCCACGGCATTCCGTTCAGCCAAAGCCTGATTCAGAGCAAGGCCTTAACTCTTCAATTCTGTGAAGACTGAGAGAAGGGAGGAAGCTGCAGAAGAGTTTGAAGCTGGCAGAGGTTGGTTCATGAGGTTTAAGGTAAAAAGCCATCTCCATAATATGAAAGTGTAAGATGAAGCCGCAAGTGCTGATGTAATGCTGCCGCAAATTACCCAGAAGATCTAGCTAAGATCATTAATGAAGGTGGCCACACCAAGCAACAGATTTTTCAGTGTGGATGAAACAGCCTTCTATTGGAAGAAGATGCCAGCTAGGATTTTCATAGCCTGAAAGGGAGTGTCAGTGCTTAGCTTCACAGCTTCATAGAACAGGCTGACTCTCTCATTAGGGGCTAATACAGCTGGTGATTTTAAGTTTAATCCAATGCTCATTGCTATTTCAAAAATCCTAGGGCCCTTAAGAATTATGCTAAAGCTACTCTGCTGATGCTCTATTAATGTAACAACAAAGCCTGGATGACAGCACATCTGTTGACAACCTGGTTTACTGAATGTTTCAAGCCCACTGTTGAGACACCCAGCTCAGAAAAAAGATTCCTATCAAAATATTACTGCTCAGTGACAATGCACCTGGAGACCCAAGAGCTCTGATGGAGATGGACAGATGAGGTCAGTGTCATTTCTATGTTGCTAACATAACATCCATTCTGCAGTCCGTGGATCAAGGGGGTAAATTTCAACCCTTAAGTTTTATTTAAGAAATGGGTTTCATTTAGGTTATAGCTGCCATGGATAATGATTCCACTGATGGATCTGGGCAAAGTCAATTGAAAACCTCTGGAAAGGATTCACCATTCTAGATGCCATTAAGAACATTTGTGATTCATGGGAAGAGGTCAAAACACCAACATACACAGGAGTTTGGAAGAAGTTGATTCCAGCCCTCATGGGTGACTTTGAAGGATGCAAGACTTCTTCAGTGGAGGAAGTAACTGCAAATGTGATGGAAGAAGGAAGAGAGCTAGAATTAGAAGTGGAGCCTCACAATGGGAGTGAGTTGCTGCCATCTCATGATAAAACTTTAATGCTTCTTATGGATGAGCAGAGAACGTGGTTTCTTGAGATGGAATCTACTCCTGATGAAGATGCCATGAAGATTGTTGAAATGACAACAAAGGATTTAGAATATTACATAAACTTAGTTGATAAAGCCCTGGCAGGGTTTGAGAGGATTGATTCCAATTTTGAAAGAAGCTCTCCTGTGGGTAAAATGCCACTAAACAGCATTGCATTGCATGCTACAGAGTAATTGTTCATGGAAGGAAAAGAAGGTTGATGGAGCAAACTTCATCATTTGCCTTATTGTCTTATTCTAAGAAATTGCCATCACCACCCCAGTCTTCAGCAACCACCACCTTGACCAGTCAGCAACCATCTACACTGAGGCAAGACCCTCCACCAGCAAAGAGATTATGACTCACTGAAAGCTCAAATGATGGTTAGCAGGTTTTAGTAATAACGTATTTTAAAAATAAAGTATGTAGATTGTTTCTTTAGATATAATGCCTTTGCATGCTAAGTTGACTGCAGTGTAGTATAAACATTACTTTTATATGCACTGAGAAGCCAAAAAATTGTGACTCACTTTATTGCAGTATTCACTTTATTGCCGTGTTCTAGATCCAAACTCACAGTGTCCCTGAGGTGTCCTGTATTTATACTCACAGATGTATTCATAAAATAAGGAAATTCTCATGATGATTACAGTCCTCATTTCTGTAACTGGTCACATGATCACAGCTGATTTTTACAGCTACCTTCCACTTCCTACCTCTCTATTCCCTTTGTCTTTGGCAAGCACCTCAGGTGGTTATGGTTCTTTACCTGGGGTAGTGACCTAAACCTTTATTCCTGAAGGGTCTGGGTGATTACTAGTCCTGCCTGGGTTGGTTGGTGTAATTTTCCACTGGCCTGAAGTCAGTAGGCATGGTTAATACTAAAAGATCTAACAGATCTCCTGTATCCCAGACATCCTCTGCCTTATTTCCATCATGGAGTCCTAGTCCAATTTCCCCTTGGTAGTCAGGATCAAGGACCCCAGCCAACATGGGAACTCTTTGTTGATTCAAAGGTGCAGGAGCCCAAGGTGGCAGGTCTTTTTTTTTTTTTTAATATATTTGGCTGTACCGTGTTTTAGTTGCAGCATGTGGGATTAGTTCCCCAACCAGGGATCAGACCCTGGCCCCCTGCATTGGGAGTGTGAAGTCTTAGCCACCGGACCACCAGGGTGGCAAGTCTCAACTTCCAGTTCAATGAAAGCACTATGTCTCCTGTGGGAAGCATTCCTCCCTCTGGAACCAAGACCTCTGGGCTACCAGAGCATGAAGTTGTGGGAACAGAAAGTAAACATTTTGCTAATGGATCACTCATATTAGTGGTTCCACTCCCATTTCCACCCCTTGATTCCTGGCCCCGTGAATCCTGGCTACGGGAGAATCAGCACCATATGTGTCTGCTGATTCAGAACAGATACAGATAGCGTGGGTTCTGTTAGAGAATAAAGTAAATGAAAAGTGTTAGTCACTCAGTTGTGGTCGAGTCTTTGCGACCCCACAGACTGTAGCCTGCTAGGCTCCTCTGTCCATGGAATTTTCCAGGCAAGAATATTGGAGTGGGTTGCCATTCCTTTCTCCAGGGGATCTTCCCAACCCAGGAGTCAAAGCTGGGTCTTGTGCATTGCAGGCAGATTTTTTACCACCTAAGCAACCAGGGAAGCCCAAGAATACTGAAGTGGGTAGCCTATCCCTTCTCCAGGGGATCGTCCCGACCCAGGAATCTAACCCAGGTTTCCTGCATTGCAAGCAGCTTCTTTACCATATGAGCTATGTGGGAAGCCCCCTGTTGTTGCTTAGCCAGGGTCAGAGTTGTCTTTTTTTTTTTAACCTGCAAGGAAAAAATTGGCCCTTAAGTCATCTATTAACACCAACCTGATGATGTCTTTCTCAGTTCCCATCAGTAAAGCTGAGATAGTCTCAAATTACTTATCAAAAATCAACTGCTCTTAATAAAGTAAAATTTTTGCTAGCATCTGAAGAAAGCTATGGGTTACCTGAATTCGGCAATTATTTAAGGTCTTGCCCAGCTCTTGTCTTTTAGGGTTGAGTTTACCACCTGTATAATGGCGTGACAGTACTACATGTGAAATGAGTTAACTGTAGTTTCAAAGTGATATTTTTTTAATATAAACTGTTTTCTCTAAACATTTTTTTCTTAGCATTTTTCCTGAAATGTGGTTCTTCTTCTGAATTTCAGATTCTGCTTTACCGCCGACAGGGTAAAGATTTACACCAATCAAGAGAAAACCAGGTGGGTCTCCCTGCTCTGCCCCAAGTTGTTGCCAGGAAAGGATTCTTTGCAGTAAAGACTTGAGGGGGCCTTTTCTGTCTCATTTTTGGGTTTGTTTGTGTTTTAACCAGCTCTATGACTACCGAGGCAGTTGTCCCCAAATCTGAACCTTTCATTAAGAAAAATAACTCTGGGAGCCTGAGAGGAGGAGCAGAGGTAGAGAATAACATCTTGGTTTAGTGGGAAAAGCCTGAGACTCAAAAAAACCCTGGGTGCCAGCCCAGCTCTGTCTCCAATTTAACATTGAGCTCATACCTTCAACCTCTGTGACCTGTCATTTCCAAGCTGTCACAGGCGTGCCCTGACACATCTATCAGTGGGCAGTTGTGAGGCTCAAATGAACTGAATGAGTTTTATAAAAAGCATTCAAGGATGAGATGAACAAAAGAAATTGTTATTAACAAGGCTTCAAAGCAAACCTCCTTGTCAGATCCACTCACTGAGTTGCCTTCTGCTCTCAGCACCTCTGAGAGGACGGCTCATTCCTTCATTCTGCAAAATTGGTTCAGCACGTCCCGGTGCCAAGGACTTGCTGTACACCGCAGATCAGCAATGAAAAGGTCAGCAGTCCTTGCTCTTTGGGGTCTCACGTTCTGCAGGGGGAGATAACCAATGAACAAGGAAATGAGACTGTTAGAAACTACTGTGTGATGTGAGTGTGGATCATGCAGGCAAAAACAGCCCTAGGGCGCTGGCATTTACCAGTGATCTAAGGATGAGAAAGTAATGAGCCTTGGGAAACGCTGCTGAGAGAGCCTCCAAGCAGAGGACACAGCCGAGGAGGTGGTCTGAGGAGGAAGGAGCCTGTCTTGTTTGAGGAGACCAATGAAGCGGAACCCAGGGAGCAAGTGGGAGAGTGGGAGGAGATGAGTCAGGCCGGGTTAGCTCCTGCCGGGCCTTCAAGGTCAAGGTCAGGAGTTTGCAGGGTCACGGAAGCCACTGGAGGGATCTGCATAGAGACGTGATCCAACTTATGTTTGTAAATGTCAGCCTCGCCCAATTGTGTCTGTGGCTCCCGTGTGGAGACAAGATGTAAAGGAGATTGGATGCAGAGAGAGAAGAGACAGGTGTCACTGTCCAGGTGAGGCACCAAGGGTGTTGTGACTCAGGGTGATGGCAGTGCAAGGGCCAAGAAGCAGACACATTCCTGATACGCCACCGGTGGAATCAGCCAGCATCCGCAGTGAGTCCAATCTGTGCACAGTAAGGGGAAGAACCAAAGTTGATGCCTGGACTTGGGGTTTGAACAGCTGGGTAAATAAATGGTCCCACGTCCCGAGGTGGGAAACACCAGTGGGAGGGAAATCAGTTTTTCTTTGTTCCCAGTACATGTTACCACTGACGATACCCCCGGATACCCGTGGGTGGAAGAGGTACATACACAGTCAGGCAGACAGGAGAGGTGCCAGCCGGAGATGGAAACGTGGGAGCCAGCGGGCTGTGTGGCGCTGAAACCAGGGCCGGGGTGGGGGCCAGGGCCACACAGAGCAGATCCGAGGAAGAGGGCTGGCTCGGCGAGCCCTGACCATTTAGAGGCTGGGAAGAAGAGAGGGTGGCAGAGGAGGCTGAACCGGAGGCCGGAGACAGGGTCGCACCAGGACCGTGTAGTGGGTGGTCTCTTGGAGCCGAGAGGAAAGAAATGGGTTTCAGGGAGAGAGGAACCAGCCGTGTCAGACCCTACTGAGAGGCCAAGGTGAGGCCGGAGAAGTGTCCACCAAGTGCAGTAACCCGGAGGTGGGCGGCAGCTTTGATGGGAGCTGTCTGAAGACGGCGGGGCGAGAGAGACGGGAGGCGGGAGAGTCAGGGGAGGGAGACAGAGCATCTGAACATCACATCTGACTGAGGGTGGAATGGGGACTGGCCGAAAACTCAGGTTCAAAGGAGGGGTTTTAAGGATGAGAGCACTCAGAATTCCCTGGCGGTCCAGTGGTTAAGACTCTGAACTTCCACTGCAGGAGGCACGGGTTTGATCTCCAGTGGGGGGAACTAAGATCATGCTGTGCTGCGGGGCCAAAAATAAATAAGAGAATAAAGACGAGAGCGTGCTACTGGGAGGGAGTCAGTGCCAGAGAGGGAAGCCCTGGAGAAAGGGACCCACCTGGGAGCGATGATGGTGAGCCTGGGCACAGAAGCATTGGGTCTGTAGACTTGGCAGCAGCAGATGAAGATGGTCCTACAGGGGATCTTAGACCCCAGGGAAAGAGGGGAGGTGTGCGGTTAGAGCTAGGAGAGGATGGGAGAGCCAGCTCAGAGAGCAGGGCAGTGAACCGGGCTCATGACCCAGACCTCCCGGCTTCCTCCTATCGCATCCTCTGCCCTCGTCACGGCTGGTTTACATCCTCAGCGGCCATGTCTCACACCCGTGTTGCCTCCACTGCTGTCTCCCCCAGGACCTTTGTTGGGCTGGAGGTCACCTCAGGGCACGCCCACTTCCTGGACCTGGTTGCAGAGGTAGACAGGGTCATGGAGGAGTTTGACCTCAGCACTTTCTACCAGGTAATCAAGGGGTGTCTTTTTTCCTCTCCACCAACCCATCTCTAATGGGAATAAAACCAGCCTTAAAGAAGCCCTTGCAGAGCCCTCCAGAACTTTCCCAGGGGAAGCGTCCATTCAGCTGGCCCTCAGAGGACCCACACCCCTGGGGAGTTGAGGGTCTGATGTGGGGTCAGATACTGCCCAGCCAAAGTCCAGCATTTCTTACAAATCTTCTGTTATCTCTTCAGTATGCTCAACGAGATCTATGCCTTCGATTCTGATGTATCCATGCTTATCTTTGTATTTTTTAAGAAGTAGCTTTCCCTAGTATTTTTTAGTCACATCGACACTCCAGGTGGAGTCGAAGCTTCACATCCCTTCCTGTGTCTTGCCTTGTGCCTTCCAGGGGATCTTGAACCTGCCCAAGTCGAATATTATGGCTTTAAAGGGCCGGTGGTTTTGCTTGATATATTCTTTTAAAATCATGCTGTGATATAGAAGTATGAATTTGAATGGAGCTAATTTACAGTTTTATCATAACTTTAGATATTTTGGGTTTTGTTCACCTTAAAAAGTATGTCATCTATTGAAATGTTTTACATCAGAAAACATTACATCTGGGACATGGGTTCTCTTCCATGTCCTAGATGTAAGGACTCAATGTGATGACATGTAAAGGAGAGCCTCTGAGAACAGGACTGTCTTAGCTCAGGCTGCCATAGCCAGATACCAGAGACTGGATGACTTAAACAACAGATCTTTATTTTCTCACAATTCTGGAGCCTAGAAGCCTGAAACCAAAGTGCCATCATGGTCAGTTTCTGGTGAGGCCTCCCTTCTTGGCTTGTCGATGGCCATCTTCCCATTGTGTCCTCACTCGATGGAAAGACAGAGGGAGCAGCCATCTGCCACCTCTTACGTGGGCACTAACCCCCTCACGAGGGTTCCACCTTCATGACCTCAGCTAAACCCAGTTATCTCCCAAGGGCCCCTTCTCCAAATACCATCACCTTGGGGGTTAAGATATGAATTGGGATGGGGGAGGGGGACACACAATTCAGTCCATAGCAAGGACCAGCCGAGGGCTATTGTATCTATCCGTGGAGGCACTTGGGATCAACACCAAGGATCTAGTCTCCGTGGATCACAAGGATCCAGCAGGGATACCGGGACAACTCTTGTCATGGATCTCTTATGATGTCTGCCACGGCATCCAGGTGACCGCTTGCCTCCCTGCTGTCCCTCTGCAGGACCCCTCCTTCCACATCAGCCTGGCCTGGTGCGTGGGTGACGCGCGTCTACAGATGGAAGGGCCATGCCTGCAGGAACTACAGGTGAATTCCTGGTGTGAGAGCCGGGCAGGTGCTGAACCCCGGAAGTGATGCTGTGGAAGGTGGGGGGTGGGACGGGGGCTGACAAGCCCTGAGGGTTAGGCCCCCAAACCTGAATCCCTGGGAGATTAACTGGCCTGGCTGGAGAGACCCACATCTCACCCTGCTCCTCTCAGCGCAGTCTCAGACCAGCGGCAGAACACCACCTGGGAGCTTATTAGCGACACTCACTCACTCACCCCAACCCAGACCTAAAGAGTCAGAAGTTAACAAGATGTCTGGGGATTTGTGTGCACGTTAAAACTGGAGAGGCCCTGCCCGAGAACACTGATCTGAGAGGATGCTGCCGACCTCCCCTCAAGTCGCAACCCCTCGCTCAGAGGTCAAAGGCTCGGGTGCTCACAGGGGCCTGGCAGGGGTTGGAAATGAGCGAAATGTGCCCGGTATCCAGAACGTCCACCCTCACAGCCTTTCTCATCTTGTGATGAGCAGGGGGTAACTTCCACGTTCCCGTCAGTACCCTCAGAGGAGTTGATCCTCACCTCTCAGAAAGGCGATGGTGGGGAGTTGCCGTGCAGGAATGCGGACCTTGTGGTGCAAGCACTTGTTTTTCAAGAGAAGCCAGAAACCTAGATTTTTTTTTTTTTTATGTGTAATTCCCCTGTTTTCAAATGTTGGCCACCAGTATGTATTTTTTAAGAAAATATTGTTTGAGCCAAATGAAACACATGCAGGCAGAAGACAGCCCCTGGGCCACTATCAGTTAGCCACGTCTGCTCTTGGCCTGATCACGCTGGAGGCGGCAAGGAGCTCTGGGCTCCGGCTCCAGCAGACCCAGGTCCCAAGCCTGGTTTTATTGGATTCTGTGATCCAAGACTCTGAGCATCCATTTCCTCGTCTGCCAAGGTGGGATGATAGCACTGGCCTCACAGGATAGCAGAGCTGATTAGACAAGGTGGCCTAACCTCTGAAGGATTTCGGTAGGCTGGCTTTCTTAGCAGTGCCATCTGGGTCCCTGACTCCCCTTAACGCGACTGTCCTCTCCTGGCTCCCGCTTTTAAGGGAATCGTGGATGAGTTTGAAGACTCTGAGATGCTGCTGCGTGCATACGCCGAGCAGATCCGCTGCAAGTCTGGGAACAAATTCTTCTCGATGCCTTTGAAGTGAGCACCAGAGGTCCTCATTGTCCTGGGCCCCTCTGCAGCCAAACAGAGATGGAAGAACCCACTCAGATCGCTGGGGATGCTGCCAGCCCTCCACTGGGGGGCCTGGCCGGAGGAGGCGCAGCTGCTCCAGGTGCTCTCCGGGTGCTGGTTCTCTTTTGGCCCCTTTGGGTTGCAGGTCGGGTACTGCTGCATTGTGGTCTTTCCCAGAAATCACCAGTAGAGGGCAGCCTGGGCTTCCTAGTTCTAGGTCTGTGGTGGTTATGCAAAAAAGCAAAACAAAAAAAAAAATAGGGGTCACCTGGTGAGCCCACCCATACTCAGCCAGAACCCCCATGGTAGTCCCGCCAACAAACGGCCCCCCCCACACCCTCTTGGGCTGTCTGCATTTGGATGCCACTGGCCCCCAGACGAGGGCTTTTCAAAGCCATCATGCCCTGCCTCATCTCTGCTCAGGCCTGACAAAGGGTGCTTCCACGGGCCTGTCATGCTCCCTCCTTGAAGCAGCGTCGCTTTTATTTATTTATTTTTAGTCTCACCCCCTCCTATGCCAGTGGAGGCCGTCTCAGGGCCAAGGCCCAGGGTGCTAATTTGTGGCTTAGCATCAGTTTTCTCCATTCCTTCCTCCCACTCACCCCCAGCCAGGTGCTTGGGGAGACTTGAGCAGATGTTTCATCTTGGCCTGACTGATGGCTTTAAGCCAGGCCTCCAACGCTCTGACCTCTGGCTTCCCATCAGCTTCCCAAAGAAGCCGAGGCGCCTTCGCCAGGCAGAGCTCTCTTTCTGCCGCCTCCGGCTGCCTGCTGCGGCCGGCGGGCGTTCCGGGGGCACTCGGAGGAAGGGCCAGGGCTTGCACAGGGGTTTTTGTTTTCCTTGAGCCCTCACCAGAGCCAAGGGCCAGTCCTCTCTCCAGCTGCCACCTGGGTTTCTAGTGATGGCGGAAGAAACACTTTTATGTTTTAGTTTATGTTCAGCAAATAAAACTTAGGGTTTTTATTTTGGACTTTGTTTTGGACTGCTTCTGTTCAACCAGGTGCAAAGATGACTTTCCTCTACCCCCATCTTCTCTAGCCTGCTTCATGGTGGGGATGTACCCTTGGGAGTCTCCATTATGACCTCTTAAGGTGGCCATGAGAGGCCTTGACGATGCGTCAGTACAGGGGGCGGGCACCTGGCCTGCCAGGCCTGCTCGCCAGAGGGGGGCACGCACGGTACCTGGACCAAGGCATAAGCACAGACATCGAGACACGATCCTGCTGTGACACTTTCATGACATTTTCGGAGTCCTTTCTAGGACCCTCCCATATGTTCCTCCCAGGAACCCCCCCCCCCCTGGAGATTAAACCAGGTAGGAGTGATTATTCTGCTTTTCCAGAAAAGCAGGTTCCATGAATTGCCTGGGGTCACGTGAGAAGTCAGACAAGGCCCTAACCTCAGTGCTGGCCTTTGCAACCTGCCAGGCCCGCTCTCCCTGCTCCAGCCCAGAGCACCCCCTTTCCACTGGGAAGGATGTGGGGAGAAGGGGGCCTGTGGCTCTGGTTCCCACTCACCTTCCTGAACCTCCCTCCTGGCCTCTTCCTGAGGCCTGCTCCCAAATCACCACCCTGGAGAGACCCAGGAAATCACATTCTCTGCCTTCTTCACCAAGCCCTCTGCATGGAGCTGCTGATTCAACCGGGATTGGCCAGTCAGGTGTGCTGGCTTTTGAGGTCACACGGGCTGGAGAGGGAGATGCAGGCCAGCCTTCCTGGCAGCCAGCTGTGCAGCCAGCGCTTACTGACACCTGCTCCGTGCCAGCCCCTGACCTGGGCAGCTGAGTGAATCAGCCTCCTCCAACCCTCTGGATGCTCATGAGGGGGTGGGGCCGACAAGATGCAGAGAATACCCATTCCCATCTGCGAGATGCAAGCAAAACCACCCAATTTCCTGCAGGTTCCAATTTCAGGATAGAGACCAGCATCTTACAAGGCGGGTGTTGAGGGTATGGACCACCTGATCATTCTCATCAGGGCCCTGGAGCCTCCATCTCAGGCACTCCTTCCTGGGAGGGTGCCCCTCACCCCCCATGTCCTGTAGCATCACCATTAACAAACCCAGGAGGACTGACTGACCGGCAGGTCCCCTGGGGGAGGAAGTGGCACAAGGATGGAGTTAGAGTGCGGCATCTTTGAGAGACGGCCAAGATCAATAACCGGCTCTTCGAGGGAGAATGGAGGTGGTGATGGAGGAAGCAGGAGATTCACTGAGGGGGGAGGGGCGGCGGGCAGCAGGGCTTGGCAGACACCCAGACCCTGAGTGCGCCGCTGGAGAGGCTGCGATCACCGGCGCCGCGCTGACAGTGCAGAAGCAGCTGGGGCTCTTCCATAAGAGGAGATGTGTTCAGGAGACGGGAGGAGAGACCAGAGCCAGCTGGGGTCCACCCCTCGGCAGGCTGGCTCGGAATAAAGACACGCTCTCGAGGGGGGTTTTATCACACCAGGGAGGGTGCAAAATCAACACATCTGGCCTCGGTGTCCTTAGATGTTCCCCACAGGGCAGGGAAATCATCTGCCGGCCCATTTGGCCCCCTTCCACCTGGCACTCTCCGTTCTCTCCACACGCCTCTCCGGACCACCCCAGCTTTGTTTCCAGGGAAGAGGGAAATTACCCCAGCTTGTTTTGTTTATTCCCGGTCTCGGTACCAGGAGCCCCGAGGGGCCCGCAGCAGGGCGGCCAGGGGTTGGGGGCAAGGGGCTCCAGGCCTGCCTCCAACCCACCCTGCCTTTCCTTTACTGAACGAGGGATCTTGGCCTCTACCTGAGCCAGAACCTGCCTTTTACAAATAAGGAGGTTGACCCCAAAAGGGGAGCTCACCTGCTCAAGATGGCCCAATAAATAAACAAAAAGTTTTAAAAAGGTTGCCCAGTAAGTAAATTTGTGCTGGGCCAGAACCCCTGGCCTGGCTTTAGATCCAGAGCTATTTGTATAACTTCTCACACCCCAGCAGGGTCTCAGAATGAAACTGTGCTGTGAAATGAGGTGTCTGGGATTTAATTCAAAAAGACTCCAGGACGAAAAGGAGGGGAGGGTTAGGGGCTAGATGAAAAGATTGAGGCAAGATGTGGGTGGTGTTTCAAAGCTGGGTGACTGAGAATAGATAGACGTATATATATATAACTGAGTCACTTTGCTATACACCTGAAATTAACGTGACACTGTTAATCAACTATACTCCAATTAAAAAGAAAAAAACTGGGTGACTGAAAGGTCGGAGTTCACAGGGCTTAGTCCCACTGATCCCCTCAGGCCTTGGGGTCTGGCCAGAGCCACAGAACTGCAGACCCCTGTGATGGGTGCAGGTACAAACCTACCTTGGAGCCCTGAGGTAGCAGTAGGGGCCGAAACCAGTCACTAGCGAGAAAATAGTGACCAGCCCTGTCTGACCATGTAGCAGACAGCACTGCTTACAGTTCCTGGGCTCCCGTCCTTACTAGGTACCCCCTAAAAGCAAGCCTTTTTTTTTTTTTAGTTTGCCAGTTGTGAATAAATATTATGAAAGATTGCAGTGCAATCAGTTAAATGGAGACAACCCTGTTGTCCATTTCTGATGACTACACTACATTTCCCAGAAAGAAATTTCAAAGTGAAAACCTTAGAAATTCACTTCCCAAATGAGGGACCCCACACAAAAGTTCGTGGAAATGGATGAAATTGTCCCCTTTTGTCCAAACCTCGACTTCTTTTCCCTCCGGATGCTCTGTTCAACACCAGGTAATGTCCACCATCGGGGCTGACCAAGATTCTGTGCTTGACCAAACTTTAGTCACGTTCTCCTGAACCCTCTCCCTAACAAGGAACAGAGGCTGAGTTAGAAGCCCATGTTTCTCTGTTTGTAAGTGGAAAGGCACCATGTTTGAGAACATAGGCTTCTTGGGACTTCCCTGGGGATCCGGTGGCTGAGACTCCCCATTTCCAATGCTGGGGTCCTGGGTTACATCCCTGGTTAGGGAACTAGATCCCACATGCCACACCTAAGAATGAAGATGGAAGATCTTGACTGCCACAACTAAGACCCGGTGCAGCCAAATTAATTAATTTTTTTTAAAAAAGCATTAGTTTAAAAAAAATAAACATGGGGGCTTGTTGATTGACTGAAACTGTCTTCATATTCCTATGGACCACAAGCTTCTACGGCCCTAGTACTATCTGTTTTCACTGATGATACCTTACCCAAAACTCTAGAGCTAACACAGCCCCTCTTGGGGTTCCTGGAATTTGTTCAAATTAGTCTACCTAAGGGGAAGCCCTAGGGCAAAACAGAACTCAAATTTCTGATGCACGATGGTCCACTTTTTTCACTTGCTATGAAGAAGCCAAAAAGCAGCTAAATGATTCAAACTATTAAAGTTCTTCAACGATATTTTCGGAAAATATTTTCTGATCCAGTAAACCCCATAGACCTCTTCACAGTGCCCGAGTCCCCCCTCCCAGCTCTGACACTTGTCCTTCTCCCCAAAATGTCCTTCACCAGCGGCGGACATGGATTTGATTCCTGGTCCAGGAAGATTCCACATGCCATGGGGCAAATAAGCCCATGTGTCACAACTACCAAAGCCTGTGTGCCGAGAGCCCACCCCCCACAACAAGAGAAGCCATGGCAATGAGAAGCCTGTGCACCAGGAATAGAGAGTAACCACCGCTCGCCACAACTAGAGAAAGTCTATGCATAGCAAGAAATACCCAGAGCAGCCAAAGATAAATAACCTTTTTTTGTTGTTGTTGTTGTTAATTTTCCTGATCTGCAGAATGAAAAGGGAAAGATTTATTGAAGAACTGAAGACTGTCCTGGGAGCATACTCTCCAGATTCCCCAACTGATGTCAACTTATCCCCCTACCAGTTGACCCTAGGGATACTGCCCTTTGGTTTGGAAGGCCAAAGGGAGCCCCATTTCTGAAGACTCTCAAGAGTCTCAGATGACCCTGATTCTCAAGGGAGAATGAGGGAAGTAAGAGAAAAGTCACCAGAAGCCATCCCACCAAAAGGGAGGGGTCCAGTATTCAAAATTGTAAACAGCAAAGAGATGAGCTGTGGCTGCCCATCTAATTGATGGCCATCTCCATCAATTAGAAACAACCCAGTAAGAGCACCCGGGGCTGGATCTGACCTCCCTAATGGCCTCTGCTCTGACCACAAGCTTTGTAAATGGCCTCAGGCCAGAGCTCCATGACACATTACAGAGAAATAGTATTAACAGGCAAAATGCAAACTTGTCTGACTCCAGGCATTAGCCCAGCATTATGAAGATGGTATTTCCAGAAAATTGCAAGCTTAGGGCACTGCAGTTAAAACAGCTAGAAGGACCTGAAAATTTTAATCTATGGCAAGCTCCAAAATCATGGTCCCCTCCTTCTGAAATTGTAAGAAAGGGCTTGAGTCTACAAGTGGCCAGACCTCTAGAAGAGGGGAAAGCTATCCCTTAAGATAGAAATGGATCTTTCCATGCCCCTGCCTAGGATTCCCCAATAGTGCTGAAAGCCAGGTTTTGAGGGGTCCTGATTGATAATCCAAGATTTATTAGAAAGGAAATGCTCAGCCCCTACTTCTAATCCATGCACAACTCCCATCTGGGCCATCAAAACCCACAATGGGCAAGGAGGTTAGTTAGTCCAGATCTGAGATTTATTAAAATTGTCAAACTCAGATTTGCCTTGATGCCCAATCCTAGCACTATCCCATCTGCTGTTCCTCCCAACACCCAATACTTTTCAGCCCTCAACTTGTGTTCTGCCTTGTTTAGGATTCCTCTTTATAAGGAATCCAGTACATGTTGCCTTCACCTGGGATAACCAATAACACACCTGGACTGTTCTGCCCCAGGGATTACTGGGGCTCCCAC